AAATAGCACTGGTCTCTGTTCTAGTTATCTACATAATGAATCACCTCCAAAACTTGAGGTTCTTAAAACAACAACTGATCATTTGGTTATCTCTCAGAGTTTCCGGGGGTCAGTGTTTGGGAAGGGCTTTGCTGGGCAGTGCTGGTTCAGGGGTCTCTTGTGGTTGCAGTCAGATTGTTATTGGAACATTGGGTTCTTACTGTCCCCCAGGATGGAAATCAAGAGAGACAACAAATGGGAGTAGAAAAGTAGAAATTTATTAGTTTGTGCACAGGAGAGGCACAAGGGAGCCTGTGCGGAAAGGGGGGGCAGCAACAGGCTCGTTAGGGAGGGGGATGGGGGTGCTTTTATTAGGCAAAGGCTGGGGTGGAGGGTCTTGTCCTGGCATGTAGAGGTGGGGTTGTGCTTGTGCCTGCAGTGTCTCGTACCATCCTATTACATGTGACTCATGTATCATTAGCATGCTAGCTCTCCACCCCTGGGTGCGACTTTTACTATGCTAATAGAGCTAGGGTCACCTTCAGTGGACTTCTGGGTGCTAGGGCGCATGCGTAAACCCAGGAAAGTCCAGAGGCTGCAGAAGGTGGATCTTGGTGGTCTCTATCTGATTCTCCTAGCTTGCCGATTGGTTAGATTGGTTAGGGACTTTATCTTGTTAGGCCAGGGGCCTTGCAGATGGCCCTGTCTCGTTAGGTTGGTTCCTGTCTCAAGATGGTGGCTGGAGTAGCTGGGGTTGGCCAGGCATCTCTCTCTGTGTGTTGATTCAGGGCCTCTTCATGTGGTCTCTCTGCAAGGGCTAGTCTGGACTTTCTTACAGCATGGTGACCTCAGGGCAGTCAGACACCTTGCATGGTGGCTAAAGTCGTCAATAGCGAGTGTACCCATGACCAAAGTAGAAGCTGAATCACCTTTTAAGGCCCAAGCCAATGCTGGGCCTGGTTGTGTGGCCTAGAACAAGCCCAGGGAATGAAGCAGAGGGGTTTCATGGTGGTGGTTTTAACGGGTCTTGGAGGCTGGTTGACCTGCCCTGGGTTTGACACTCAGCAAGGTTGGAGCTGTCACTGTTGGCTGATGCAGGGATTGGTAGGAGGACATCCATCATTGCCTCAGAGGGTTGCTGACCCTCGGATCTCTTGTACAGGACACTTTTCCTAAGCATTGGCCCTGTGAATTGGCTCCCAAACATACATACTTCCTTGAAAGCTTTATTGAGATAGTTATCTCGAACACTGCTGTGCTCCCCCCTGCAAACTTTGCCCCCCCCCCTCCCCGGTCATATGTTGAAGTACTAACCCCTGGTATACCTCAGGATGTGACCTTAATTGGAAATAGGGTCATTGCAGATGTAATTAGTTTAAATGAGGTCAGACTGGTCTAGTATGGCCCCTAGTCTAATGTGACTGGTGTCTTTATAAAGGGGGGAAATTTGGACACAGACACACAGGGATAACACATTGTAAAGATGAAGACAGAGATCAGAGTGATGCAAAGCCAAGGAGTGCCAAAGATTGCGAGCAAACCACCAGGAGCTAGGAGAGAAGCGTGAGACAGAGATAGCCCTTAAGAGGAAGGGGCACTGTCAGACACCTTGATGTTGGACGTCTAGCCACCAGAACTCTGAGACAATAAATTTCTGTTGTTGAAGCCACATAATTTGTGGTACTTTGTTACCTCAGCCCTAGCAAAGTAATGTAAATGCTGGGTCCCCTTCCCCGCTTTCTCCTCATCTCTGCAGTTCTGGGTGGATGAACACAGGGATAACCTTGTGCCCGTGATGAGGAAGCTGCCAGATGGCCTGACATCGTAATCCCGCTAAAATTAAAATTCGAATTTCCTCAAAAAGTTCTATGAAAGGTGATTTATTGTAAATTTCAGGCACAAGGAAAAGGAGATAATTTTTGATAGGAGGACCCCTTTCATGTCTCTGAACTTATACCAAATAGGTTGTTTCATCTACATTCTCTGAGACCCTTCCACCCAAGAATATGTCTTCAGTTATTCCAGAGTTTACCGGGAGTTCACACTTGGTTGGTTTTCTCAAGAAACCTGATTTAACCTATTAGAATTGGCACTCGACTACTCTCATGTAATCATTTGCATGCGTTTGAGTGCCATAATTGTTGAAAGCTGATATTAGAATCTTAAGAGTGGCCTATCTTATGTAGAGATGTTTAATACAATAATACTGGGTGCATGGTGCAGTAACAATGGAAATTACATCTGCAGAATAGTTGTGGTAATAGTGTATTCTAAAATGCAAGAAATGGAAAGAGCACAGTGGAGGAGAAAACCATGTTTTATTCACAGCATTTTGGCTGTCTGTGCTCGCAGGCCGGAGGGCAGAGGAGAGCTTTTGTGCCCCTCAGGGCCGCACCACCTGGGCTGCGTGATAGAGATCAGCCTGTACAATTCTGATTGAAGCGGGGAATTTTCAGTCCCTGGAATCAAAAGGGGGCGGGGGTGTTGCCATGTTTGAACATACTTGTTGCTCTTTAGATAGGACAGCATTTTGTAAATAAAAATTGGAATTCCAAACAAAGCATATTATTTGCTATGATTCAGCCTAATAATTTGGCTCCTTTCCAGTTGCTCATAACTTCTGATTGATAGCTTATTTTAGAAATATGTTTGGAAAAAAGTATGTAAACTATATTCCTCTATACTTCACCAATACGGTTTTTAGGTCAACTTAAGGCTGATTAACTTTACCCTGTCCCTTTAATACTTTGATTTGCTGATCACATTCAACATAGGCAAACTCACAGAAAACAATGGTAAAAATGGATATTTAAGGAACCTGAGAAATTCTTGACTATGTGAATTGACACAATAAATTTTGAGTTTTGGATAGTTTCTGTACCAATTAAGAAATTTTGTGAAGTTTTGATTAAATATTTCTTTTGGTAGCTTAATTACCCCAATTCAGGAATATCTGCTTAAAACTTCAAAGATGAAACAAAGCCAAGGAAGTGCCAGGGGAGCAGTGATGAAAAAAGAGTGAATTAATTCTATTGTGTCCAATTCATAAGAAATATCTCAGCCTTGTGTGTATTCATGTGGACCCCACCTTTGCTCAGTTCCTTTCAGAAAAGAAAGTGGTGTTTTGTTTGTTTTGTTTCTACTTTTTCTCTTTGATTTTATAACCGTTGAGCCAACAGGCTGGTCTAGCCTTTTCCAAGTCCTCTTGCTATTCTTGGGGTTGTTCCCATCACTCTTTCCCTGGTAGACCAGGAGCTACTCTCCAAGGCAACGGAGTGAAAGCATCTCCCACAGGATCACAGGACGTCGGGCAAAGACCATTTTCTTGGAGTGATTGTGTCTAAATTCTCTGCGTCTTCTCCTCCCCTCAACTCTGAAATCATGCCAGGAAGGTTACCATTGCACTGAGAGCGGCACGTCTCAGCCACATATGAGAAACTTATCAAACAGACATGCGCTGAGAGAGAGGCGAGGCTGGGGCAGCATTACCCTTGGTGTTTATCCGTCCTTCTGAACAGGCAAAGATACTTGGCTTTCATGGGCAGGATATTGGTGACTTCAGTTGGCAGCTTCCTGAAGAGCTGTTCAGGGTTCTGCTGTCACATCTTGGGACTACAGCCTGTGCTCAACTGCAGTCATTCCCTCCATCCTAATTATTCCAGTTTGTGTCTGAATGCTGTCTGCCTTCCTCTGGGGTCAGATTATCCCCTTTCGCTCCCCGCCCCCCTCCTCCATTTCTTGGCAGTAGAAAGTCATTTTTACCAAATCCTTGTCTGCCTATGGGGCTGTTTTACTGAGATTACGTATGTAGAGAGTAATTGTCCATGCTGGAAAGAGCTCCGCAAATGTAAAATGGTGATGCTGATAACAACACTTCTACTCACTGACGCTTATTCGCTTTCCAGTAGCACCTTATTTTCCAAACCAAAAGCCTTTTAGGAACTCTGAGTTACCATTTTTCCTTGGGTGGTTTATGGCGAGTCAACATTGTGTAGTGGTTAAGAACATGGACTGTGTAGTTCATGTTTCACCACTGCCTCTCCGGCTGTGTGACTGGGGATGGGTTCCTCTCTGAGTTTGGTTTCCTCAGCTTTAAATAGGGATACTAACATAATCATCCTTGCAGAATGGTTGAGAGGAGTAAGCGGATTTTGCAAGGGGAAGCAGTTAGCAGGGTGCCAGGTCCATATAACTACTTGGTAAGTAATTAGCTTTCGTTGCTTTCTGGAGGTATTTGGGGTTCTGCTATTCTAATGGATTTTGTGCAAAGCCAGCAGAGAAGAGCTGACTCTCTTAACTTAATTAATTGCTAAAGCCAACAGAAAAAGAGCTGATTCTCATAACTTAATTGTGAATTCTCCCCCATCCTGCTCTTCTTCCTATATTTCATCTCATCTGGAATGTGAACTTGTAAACTTATATTCATTAAATGAACAGAAAATGATGTTGCCTTTTTTTTCAGAATGCAATGATGGTATATACTTTTTCAAGAAATCATGGAATAATAATAGCAATTTTTTTACAAGTTCAGTATTCAGATCCTGAGAACTCTTTCCCTGGCTTTCAGTCCTGATGAAGTTGGAAGGGGGTAAGGTCTATGAGATGGTCCCTACAGGCAGTGGCCTCCGTCAGTCCCTCCCTGCAGGCCACCATTCTGTCAGGACGTGGCTGGCTTCCTTTAAGCAGTATGTGGATTGCTGGGGAGAGGCTGTGGGCATGGAGCTCCATGATATACCCACTCCAGCATCTCCTTCCGGGGCATCCATTCCTGTTGGGCGGAAAATAAGAGGGTCCGTTATGATTTCTGACTGGCATTTCATTATTTGTATATTAACATTTAGTGTGGAGTGAGATTATAAATTCATGTCATAAGTAGCCATTTGAAAAAGACCACTAACTCTAAAATTTGAAAAATTGTGCTTTCTTGGGAGGTAGTTATACAGTGATGCTCCTGATATCAAGGTGGTATTTTTAACAACCTTTATTGACTCTGCTAAACTTGTTTCATCATTCTGTTACAGATTGATGTTCTCAAAGCAGATCTGGAAAGTGCAGAATGGAAAGTTCTGGAAAATCTTATTCTGGAAGATGTCCTTGGACAAATCGGACAGCTCATCTTTGAGATCCATCTCCACTGGCCAGGGTTCGAGGTCAGTGGCAGCGACAGCAGTGTTGTGCGGTTCTGGTACAGCCTCCTCAAAGAGTTAGAACTCAAGGATTTCAGGCTTTTTCATAGTTACAAAGATTTATCTAAACCTCAGCTATTCCTGAAGAAAGACATTTTCAATGCAAGTAGCTGTTACATTCTGAGTTGGGTGAATACAAGATGGAAGTAGGATGCAGGACCTCATCAAGAACTCAAGGAAATATTTGTAGAATAGATCATATCCATGATTCTAATTATTGGTTTACTTGTCCAGTCTCTCACTAGCCTATTACCTGCTTGAGGCCAGGACTGTGTTACTGCCTTTGTAGTAGTTGTAGCTTGGCGCCTGCCACGTGGAAGTGGCACAGTTAACACTTGTTGAAAGGATGGACACAGGAGTCCACCTCCGTCTGCCCACACGCAGGCTCTTTGCCTGTTTCCCTCTGACAGAGTGCGGATGCTTGTTCTCCCTCATTTTAACTTGGAAGACAATCTCCCACTTATCTCAGTTTTCCCTAAAATTCATTTTGTATCCGTAACCCATGAATTCACCAACATGATAAGGAAATTACATAAATTTTCCATTTTTATTGAGATGATGAGATTCTCCTGTTTAAAATAGGGCCCCTGGTTTGACTTTAATTCACCTCTTTCAAGGTTTTTCTTGTTCACTTTGTCAATAACATACTTTACAACCTTGTAGATGTCAGTCATTCCTCCTGAGCAGAGGCTGAGGCCATGCTGCAGCTTTATAGGAGCCGCTGACTTGGTGCCTGGGAACTCAGACACATTGCATTCTGTCACTGAGTTTAAAAGGCTAGACTACCAAGAACTTCAACTCAGGATTCTTTTCCTACTCAGCCTTAAATTCTCTTCTGTTCCTATGAAACTAAGCACAAAGCAGAATTTGGGTGTCTCTACTGTTGCGTCTTCTGACTTCAAACCTGATTTCTCAACCACAGACTTGCCTATACTGTCAAATCTTTTTCTTTTAAATACATTATCACAGAGAATAAGTGAATTTTTCTTTACTTCCAGTTGGCATTCATTACAAGCCGGTGGCCTGAGGGCCAGAGCCTCTTTCTTTCCTGGGATGGTTAAACAGTGTTTCAGTAGTACCAATCCTTTTTACACTTTTTTTAATTAAGCAGAAAATGCAGGTTCTCGATGGTTCAAGGATCTCCATCATTTCTATTTACAGGATTAGCCAGTTACTCCTATGAATGATTCTCAAAAATCCTACTTCAAATGAGTTAATTAAATAGTATAAAAATAAACCAAATTATTACCTTATTATAAATTAAGCATATTTTCTGGCATTTTTTACATCCTGAGAGAATAGGAAAACTATACATACACTGTTTGCTCAAGGAATCTGGGGAGAGAATTGAATACTGATTACTACTAGATTTTATTCCTCTTCTCTGTTTTTTACCTCTTTCAACCCCAGCCATTCCCTGGGTTGGCTTTTTGTTTCTTGCTGTGGTTTGAAAATATCATTCCTCAAGTGAGAAGCCAAAATATATTAGAGTTAGACCATCTCATTAACTTGGGTTCAAACGGGAACAAGACTTTCTGAATTAGTGGTGATGATTTTGTAAAATATAAATGAAGTTTTTATTTTAAAGCTTATAATAACTAATAAAAGTCATCGAGGTGGGAGGACCAACTTGAATAGTGTGATTTGAAATAGCAGATCAGCTGTGTTCAATATCCATATTTCAAAAGTCATAAGGGTCCATAAAAACCCTGAAGTGGTTTATACTGTTAGTTTGCATGGTGTAGCCTCCAAAACAAAGTTAACATTAGTGCAGTTCCTGTTTGGGATTATATCACAGATTCTTTCTCTTTTATATTTTAATAAAAGTTTTATACACTGAGGTATATATAATAAACCTTTTTATACATTAAACCTTTTAAACCTTCTTACACACTAAAGTATGACGTGTCCTAATGTGATCAGGTTTTAGATAAGTACACACCCATATCAAGACTTTTAATTCACGGGATTGAAGATTTACGGCATTCCCAAAAGCCCCCTTTGTACGGGGCAAGTTACCATTTATTCCAGACTGGTCGTGCAGAACATCGACTTCGTCACACTGTATATATCTGAAGCAAGAATGGGTGTACTGTTAAGAAAAAAAAGACAAACTCAAAATAAATCACAAACACACCCACCCACACCCACCTCCTAGGCAGCCTGTTCAATAGTTATTTGTACTTATTTTGTGCTTATTTCTAAGACTGTCCTTCACTCCCTTCACGGATAGTTTGAAATTTATGAGGAATATTCTGACTGTTGCTATGGCTTCCTTGCCTCTAGAATGTATTATGCTTATTGTGTAGGCCTGGGTTTCTTAACCACAGCCCTGTTGCCATTTTGGGCTGGATAATTCTTTGTTGGGAGAGGGAGCGCTGTCCTGTACGTTGAAGGATGTTTAGCAGCATCCCTGGCCCTCTGCGCCTGATGCCAGGAGCACCTCTCCCTCCACACTCCTCAGTTGTGACAACCAGGTATGTCTCCAGACAGTGCCAAATGTCCCCTAGGGGGCAAAGTCACCCCCTGTGGAGAACTACTGGTGTGGGCCATGAGCAAGGGTCTAGGCTACCGCAGCACTGGTGTTTGGGGAGATCCTGCTGGTGAAGAGCAGGCAAACCAGCAACCATCACCACCACCACGCAACACAAACGAAACAGGAAAGTGAACAAAATCAAAGGCTACTATTCATCAAGAGCTTACGTCTCCCCCTCCTCCGCACACCTCCTTGTCCCTCACTGAATGTGCATAGATTATTCCTAGTTCTCCCAGCAACCCTACAAGGAAGCTATACAGGCAAGGAAACTCCGAGAAGGTAAATAGCTTATTTAGATTATTCAACTAGGAGATGGTGGAGCAGGAGTCCACATCTCCATCTGTTAGATCCCGAGGTCCATGTGGGTCCCCTCCACAATGCTGCCTCAATAGCCCCGAATGAAGGTAAGAGGCTCTTCTCAAAGGGCGTATTTTCGCCTCCCTATCAGTACATGGGAGGGGTGGGGAAGCCTACAAATATGCTAAGACCTGCAAATCTGTTAGAGTTGGGATTATTTTTGTAGCATGCAGGTTTAATTTAAATAAGCTACTTAATTAAAATATGCCCACCAAATGGAGTCTTACTGAAAAGATATGAGGACCTGGGGCTGGCCCCGTGGCCGAGTGGTTGAGTTCCTGTGCTCTGCCCAGGGTTTCACCGGTTTGGATCCTGGGCATGGACATGGCACTACTGGTGGGGCCATGCTGGGGCAGCGTCCCACGTGCCACAACTGGAGGGACCCACAACTAAGAATATACAACTGTGTACCGAGGGGCTTTGGGGAGAAAAAGGAAAAATAGAATCTTTAAAAAAAAACCAAACAAACAGATACGAGGACCCAACAACTTCTCTGTTAATATATTCAGGTTGCCAGAAAAGCTCTTGCAAGGTCTGGAAGCGCCTCTTGGCCATGGCTTACCCCAATACATGGCACTTTCCTCCTGGCTTTTAGAAAGGACAGTCACTTGGAAGTGCAGTGTGAGTTTCCTTTGTTTTAAACTAGTCTTTGACCTGCAGACACATGAGCTCAGATGTGAATATCTGTGACACACATCTCTCAATTAACTCTCACCAGAGCCATGCTCAGAAATGAATCTGAACGTACACATTTAACAACGCTCTTCTCCAGTGATAAAAACCAAAACACCCTGTTCTTTTTCAAGTGAAAGACATAGGAGGATGTAAGAGATTCAGAGGTCAGAGGTCACTTTTCAGCACAAACTCTGTCACAATTTGAGATTAAAGCCAAAGAAAAACAATTTTCCCTGTCCCCTTTTCTTAGAGTGATTGTATCTGATGCACTTATAATAGGTTATCATATAAATATTTGTAACTATTTGACCTGTTCAAAGGAAGAGAGAGTTGACCGAAGGCCCACTAATTACATCAGGGCAGAACAAAAGTAAATTCATGAATTTACAGTGTTTAGTCCACATCAGTTATCCATGTAAGCATTTCTGCCTTGGCTATAAGATTTTGGTATATAGTAAAGACAGTACAAGATTTGTATTTCCTAAGTATTACATGTTTGGATTTTGCAAAGCTTGGATTAGCACCAGGGAGCCAGCCTTATCATATTTCATTGGATTAAAGATGAAGGCCTCATTTAAACAGTATAATAATACTTGACAATGCAAGGGTGCCTCCAAGCTCAATTAATATAATTGTTCTCTTTTGCTGGAAATAAATTTATGTTTCCGTTTTAAGCAATAACATAATTCTTTTTGTCCTAGCCAATTGCTTGTTCTTTGTGAATTCAATAATTTAACCTCATGCTAAAATCTTTCTTTTTCTTACATTGAAAGAGGTATTTGAAATTTACCTATCATATGAAATTTCTAAATTTAGAAATTATTGAAATTCTTTAAATAATTTTATTGTGTTTGTCCTTAAGAAAAATAAATCAAGCAAGCTTAATGTTGTCACACTTTATGTTTAGCACTGTTGAGAAAAATGCTAGTTCTCAAAACATTAAAACTCATGCCTTGTAAAACTAGCAACTTCATATTCTCACAAAATATTTTAAGTTTTTTTTACTGATTGATTTTAAGTTTTTCTTACTGATTGGTTTTGTGCAATAAGATTGTCTGAAATAGTAAGAGATTGTTTTTTTCAAGTTTGAATTCAAATCTAGACTATTTCAATAGAGAAGCCCAGTATACATAAGACAGATATGCAACCAATATGTACCTGTGAGCTATAGTGGTTGATACATGGCTGTGGTCCTGAGTCCCCCAGGGGTTCTCCTCCACTGTAGCCCATCCCACAGGACCCCCAGACCTTCCTAAGATTGAAGAATTGATGCACAGCACCATAGGCAGCCTCCAGGTCCCTGCCCTAGCACTGTGGTTACCTTCTATTCTGACTGCTCTATGTCCTGCCTTACCAGTCACTGGATATTTGATATCACTCCTGGGTGGGAATATATAATAAACAAAGGTCCAAGTGGGTTCTGTAACATTAATGAGAAACCACAATTATGTATCAATAAAAACAAGCAATTAATTATTTGTGCAAGAAAATATGATACCTCAAGGACTGATGTTAGATCAAATGTTTCCTCAGGAACCCCCCCTCTTAAGGCCCCAGCTATGTGTCCCTACGATGCCCTCTATGCTCTGCATCCTCATACTCCTTGTACTTAAATGTATCTTTTTGTATAATGGCTCTTTCCCAGCAGACTGTGAGCTCCATGAGGCTGAGGGCCATCTCTGTAGCCCCAGGGCCTAGCCTGCAGCCTGCTAGATAAAAGGTGCTCAGCAAACATTTGTTGAATATAAATAAAGAAAGCTATTTCACATAGGATTTTTCGTTGAAATTATTTCATCATCGTTTGTTATTGAGATTTTTTTCTGGCATTAAAAATATCTTTAGTATTTAGATGGCCCACTGTCTCTCATTTTGGTTAATTTTAGACACAATTTGTCCTTTTCCTGACGTGGTTGTTTACTGCACTGCTTGTGGTAGCCCTCATTCCTGACTAAAGGATGCTAACCTGGAGATCTTTCTTGACCTTGGGGACTTGACCACTATATAATAATTGAATCGAATAAATACAGTAATAACAGGCGGCTCAATTATTATAAGGTATCCTAGTATATTTAACCTCAGTATTCCTTTCTCATTCCGTTGTCCTTTCTTTGTGCCAATTCCCAGAACACCCACTTTTTAGAGTCAGTGTATTAAATCATAATTCATAGTAGCATAGCGAGTATTTTTCAGTTCATGAGAGAAAGAAGGTATGATGATGTGAGGCTATTTCTGTCAACGATATGGGCTGGTATTGACAAAACTGCTTAAAACCACATTGTTTTTATAGGACAAAATAATAAAGACAATTGTTCAAAGAATAAAAACAAGGTGAGAAAAGGTATTCTGTTCTCAAGACTATTTGAAGTATAACCAAGAAACATCCTTATGGGCACAGCTATGAGAGAGAAGGTGATGGAGCCCAACTCTAATGGAAGAGGCCATGAGAATATCTTTAGTTACAGGTTCTGTTTTACTAAAGGATGAAATAAACACGATCTAAATGGCTAAGTGTTTCATTTAAACTGCCTAACTCAGAGAGAGCAAGCCAGAAGCCACATAGAGTATGACACAAATCTGACAACTTAAAAAATACAAGTGGCATTACGTAGAGGAGGCAAGATAGCAGGATAAAAGGAGGAAGATTTTGATACTGCTGCTAACTAGCCGTGTGATATCAAGCAAGTCATCACCTTTATTGGCCTATTTGCTTATCTTAGGTTGGAATATTTGATTTCTAAGGTTTCTTCTAGCTTGAAAATCTCATTATTCTAAGATTTTTTGTGATTAGAGAAGGCTTAGATGGTGGTAGGATAATTTCTTGATTTGTGTGCTAGAAAGGGAAGTCTTAGGATAAATTCAGGAGTCCAAATGTGCTTATTCAGAAGAAAAGGCCCAGATAAAAGATGAAACCATTATGATGGTTCTCTAGTCATCAAGTGAAGTGCCCTTAGGAAACACCTTTTTGGATAACACAAACTCACCTGGTTCTCAAAACCAGAGTGTTTCAGACTGCACTTGTTTATACTTCTGTTTTAAGACTATCCTAACAAAGTGGCAACATCTGAAGATACTAGATTAGGTACATATATATCTACGGTGATCCTTCTGTATGTATATGTGTGTGAATATATACGTATGCATGTATACATATATAATTATGTATATATGTGTGTATGTATATATATGAACACCCAAGAAAGAAAAATCTTCAGACAAAAAACTCTGAGGGAGCTAGCCCTGGTGGTCTGGTGGTTAAGATTTGGCACTCTCACTGCCATGGCCCAGGTTCATTTCCCAGTTGTGGAACTACACCACTATCTGTCAGTTGTCATACTGTGGTGGCAGCTCACATGGAGAACTAAACTAACAACTAGGATACACAACCATGCACTGAAGCTTTAAAATAAAAAAATTAAGAAATGCACCCAAAACACTCAGAGGGAGCCTATGTGTGTGTGTCTGTATGTACACACAACACACACATACATACATGCATATGTATGGCTGAATGCCCAAGAAAGAAAAATTTTAGACACAAAAGGTCAGAGCGAGCCTAGCACCTGAGAGGTCGACAGGACCCTACACTGCAGTAACCCTAGGAGTTGATAGCAGTGATGGCGTGGGTGCACTGCAGATATGGTCTGGGTTGGGGAAAACGACTGGGACTGAGACACCCACAGCAGCGAGACCTTTGGAAGGCTACAACTTCAGTGCAAGAGGGGCCTAAAAAATCTACCCCCTCCCTCGCCGCCCCCAGCACAAGGCAGCCTATCCCTGCTGCAGCTCCGGGAGGAAATAAAAGTTTCCCATGAGAATTTGAAGACTCCAGACTATTTAGGGAACTGACTTTATACTAATTACATGGGGAGGCAAACCGTAAGCTGAGAAATGGAGATTAAAAAACCGGTTCCAGGGGGTGATACCTCAGGGTACATGGCAGAAACAAACGTATACCCACTCTGAAGGGACTCTTCAACTCAGGCAACAACAGATTTCCTCAAAAAAACAAGACTAATAAAAAATTACAACTGACGAGGAAACGGCCCCCCATGAGGCAGAGTTAACAGACACAATATACACTGGGATTTTCAGCCCAAGAACTTGAGATCACAAAATAACAATCTTAAAAAAGTATAATGTAAATTGTTTAAAATGATTAAAGGCATAAAAGACGATACAGAAACCATAAGAAAATAAGACATATGAAGAACAGGTAGATATAGAAAAGTACAAATAGACCTTCCATAAAGGGAAAATAGTCATTGGACTAAGTTTAATGGATCAAACAGATTAGACACAGCTGAAGAGTTTATAAAGTGAATTGGAAGATAAACCTGAGGAAACTACCAAAAATGTAGCACAGAAAAATATGAACATTTATATTCTTTGCATGAGATACTCTGAGTAGTTTGAACCTTAGAATGCCTTTCAGATGAAAGCAGTAAAGTTGAATATCTGAGCCACTGTCTAAAAAGTGGTACTAGAACTGTATGTGCAATATGGCAGCCATGAGCCACATGCGGCTATTGAGCACTTAGAATGTGGCTGGTGTGACTGAGGGATGGAATTTTAAATGATATTTCCTCTTAACTAATTTAAATTTAAAAAACTTTATACTTGATTCAATTATTAGGAAACTCTTAGGTATGTTTGGAACAATGTGGGCATGTAAATCTACTTTGTATTAAAGAGAGAAAATATTCGATGAAAATTTAGTGTCTGAATTGAGATGTGCTGTTAAGCAAAATATATACCAGATTTCAAAGACTTAGTATGAGAAAAGTAAGATATTAATTTTAAAAATAATTGAATGCAGAAATAATACTTTGGATATATTATGTTAAGTAAAATATATAATTAAAATTAGTATCCCCTAGGTTTTCTTTAATGTGGCCATTAGAAAATTAAAAATTACAAAATGGCTCACATATTTCTGTAAAGTGAATTGGAAGATTAGCACTATGCTAGAACATACACTTAAATCAAAGATGTTTGAGACTTGAGTTAGTCCCTCAGATCTCAAATGCTGAAGGCTGGAGAGTAGGGTGAGGGGAGCTAAAAATTTCATCTGAAGACAGCCACTGCACTTACAGGAAGCTGTGCAAGCAATGGAGTTATCTCCTTCTTTGTCACCAAAAATAAAGCCACTCCAAGGATTCTGGCTGCAAGTCGTGACTTCTTTCCCCTTAAGTTCCACATAAAATTGCAGTGTTTAGGTTGAGAAAGTTGTTTCCACAATTATTAAAGTGACTATGAACATGGAAGGTATACATATAAATACATAAAATGTATATACACACATATATGCACAAACACACATATGCACACATAGATGTATAAATTTTTGGTTAGCTAACTTTCTCAGTTTACATGCATTAAAGATAATTCTACTTCATTGGTTCTCATCCTTAGTGTGTGTATCATCTGGGGACCTTGCTAAAAGTGCCGACTTTGATCCAGAAAAAAAAAAAAAAAATATATATATATATATTTTTTAATTACAATCTTCTGTTAGTTCATTTTATTTAGGCAATGGTCAAATAAACATTTGATAACATGAACTTTGAACCAAGTGTGCTGTGATAGAACCTTCTTTCCACTGGATCTTCTCTTCTCATTCTTAGGTCCCTTGGTACTTGCCTTGTTTATACTGCATTTCATCAATTATTTCATGATCCACTAAGGAAGAAAGAATGCTGCCAATTAAACTATGACACATCATTGATTTTATGATGTAGCCCTATTTCAGAGATGTCAGAATGTGAAAAACAAGCATCTCTGATGATATACAGCATCAGTGTTCCCTAGGCCTCACTTTGAGACCCAAATTTAAGACTGCTGATGGATATCTTGGTCTGGATGGCACGTCACACTTCCCTTCCCCACAGGTGAATTCATTATGGCTCCCCCAACTACACTCTACTTTCTTCTAGATTCTGTATCTCAGTAAGCCACACCATCTCCAGGTGATTCTAATGCAGCTGTTTCTCAGGCCACACTCTGAGAAACACTGTTCTTCAAGGAGAGTGTCTATAATTATTGCTGGTTGCAGGCCTTACAGCTGCCATCCAAGGGTTTGATATTTCACTGCCAATGTTTTCTTCCAGGTAATTGATAAACATGCTAAGGACATCAACTGGCCTCACAATGCTTCCTCAAGAATCACTCGACACTTTTCCACTTAAAGAAGTGCCTGTTTGATGCCACTCCCTGTTCCTTATCTTAAAACCGTCTCCTTATTTAGGACAAAATAGTCCCAGCTTGTGCTTCAACATTTAAATATTCATCTGATTAAAACTTTCACTAAAGCATCATTTGTATTCTGTTAGGAAGTAAATCTGTCCTGGGTGTGACAAAAAGGTTGCAGTGAAGCAAAGGAAGACAGAGGATAACCACTTAATTCCAGTAACAACATGACCTTGAGACTTTTTTATGCTGGAAAAAACCCTCACTCATTCATGTATTCTAAAATGGCTACAATCATGACTCAGTGCCAACGCCAAGTGAAAAAATATGGAATGTGATAAACTTAATCTGTGTGCTCTGAGGGCCATGCCCTCTATTTTTATTATTTAATTAGAATAAACCCATTCATACACCATACTCCCCTCTAAAGCATCACTTCTCCCCATAAAATCAAAATGACGCATTGAAAATCTGCAAATGGTTTCATCTAGTGTCTCAACAGAGTTGAAACTTAAAAGAAGACTAAAGAACCAAAAATTCTGATAATACTTTCTACAAAAATGCTTTATTTAAAAATATGATCTTTTAAAAAAAGAGAATTTTTATATACAGTTAGTTTAGAAACAGTCAAAAACACAACAAAATAAACCGAGATTTAGAAATTATGATTTGTAACATACACAATACTGGTGCTGAGCAAGATAGTTTAAATGTATGATTAATTCTTTTTGTCCCATCACATTTCAGTAATTCACATTTATTAAAACCCGTGGTTGGAAATAAAGAGGTCTTGTCTGAATTCTTTCCTCTTCAGGAAGTGGCAGCCACCCTTCCTGGCAGATACAGAAGGGGCAGCAGCTAGGCACTGTATTCTTATTTGAGTGCCTGTGTGTCCAAAAATATATCTCTATCACTTTTATTCTTTTTCTATTTTCTTATTTGAAATTTATTTATATGTGGCTATAGTGCCTGGTCATCTCTATCACGCTTTTCTTTTTTTTAATTTTAATTTTTAAAAATGGAAGTTCTAAGGGCAAGAAGCAGCAACTGCTATTGATAGCACAGGACTCGGTGCTAATGCCCTTAGGATATCAACACTCAACATGATTCTGGTCTCCAAGTCAGCATTCTGAGCACTATGAACCAATCTTTTTTTTAGCATGTGCCAAAATGTTTCAAATCACATTCAAACATCTAATACAGATTTGTAATAAAACAGGAGAAATGGCTTGTCAAACTAAAGTGCTATTAGCTACTATATTCAAGAGTAATCCTGATTTCACAATTTGAAGTTTTTAAACTTTTTCTTTTTTAACCAACCACAGTCACTGTTTCTCAAACCGGGGAACCCTAACCATCTTCCTGGAGTGTCAATTTTACTCAAAGATTTGGAAAGAAGTTGAAAACCTTTCTAATCTTAAAAAGTTCTGTCAAACATACTCGCAAGCAAAATCAGAATAATTTTAAAGATAAAACATACAACTTCAAAGAAATGACAAGTTGACATTTTGGACTATGCCCTCACACCCTATCTCCTATGAGGAGTATTTCAGTAGTAACATCTGTGAAGCAATGACCTAGGAGACCCTGATTTCTGAAAGTGTAGCCAGGTCCTTACTGACAGTAAATACTAATAAAATTCAAAGTCTTGACTCATTCTTTTGAGTTCCATCTTCAAAAATAACATAATTCTCTGATTGTACCAGTCTTGTCATACTGATCAGGAAGAAAGTCAACGAAAGAACTCTGGACTGATTTTTATTTTACATCGTTTAATAATTAGAGGAATGCTGCAGTTAGAGAAGATTGCTGGCTTACAACTAAAAATACACAACACATGTCGTAAAAAATAGTGGAACTCCTGAATCCGAAAGATTAGAACTCGACCCACTGAAAATAATGCGAACAGAAATTGTGGGTGGTTTTATCCTTCTTTCAGATTCACATTTAATTACATCATCCCTGCTCCTTACTTCCCTTTCTGTTGAAGCAGTAAGTACACGGTACCCTTCTGAGTTATCTGTCTTTAATTATATTATCTCCTTCAGATAGATCCCCAGATCTACTAGGGATTCTTTCAGTATGTCATGGGGGTCAACCCAAACTGCCTGCCAACAATAACTACTTGTCAATTAGAAAGTCAATAGTCACTCTCTGTATAAAGTGAAGTTAGCAATGAAATGATATAAGCCAAATTTGCAAAGGACATTTTTTTAAACAGTGGGTCAACTTTATAAGGCCATGTAAGGAAATCATAATCTGTAAATCAAGTCGTCATCCAACACATTTAATAATTAAATATAAATATGATACTGGATCAAAAATGATCCTAGATAGTTTAGGGATTAATGAGGTTAATCCCACAGTTTAATGAGGCCATCCCAACCACACGTGATGACTTTGGAGGTTTCGTGAGGATGCCACACTGCACCGATACACACTTTATCATGAGCTTTAAACCGGCTGTAGAGTTTTGTGGTCTTCCAGTCCCAGATATTTAATTTTCCATTTCCATCTCCTGAAATCACATAACTACAATGGGAAGAAAAAATAAGTTCAAATTATTCACACATCTTAAACTGGTAAAATGAATGAGGAACAGAGAAAGAGTTTATCTTTTTCACCTTAACATAAAAAAAAAAATCAATGAGAATATACACTACTCAGTGAGAAAAACAAGGCAGAGCATAAAGTAGTCTATAATTTAAACTTCTACCTAAAACCCTCCCCATTGAGTAAATTTATTTTTAACTTGGAAGATTGGGAGACCCAGGGACCACAATGAATACAGTATTACAATTACTCTAGATACTCAGAAACAATGTAGAAACCAATTTCACACAGAGCCAGCAAACACGTTCAGATCTATACTACTGTATTAGGCTCTACCACCTTCATCATAATTTTTTGGCTTCAGCATCTTTTGAATACGTCTAAGACTGACTCAGAGGTAGGAGTCTAAGGCCCAATTAACAGGCTAAACTTAGTAGGTCACAGGAATTTCTGAACTACTTCTACTTAGATGTTTTAGCTTAGAAAGGGGGAATGAATGCAGAGTTCACTCTTAGAAAGACTCCAGGGCTTCACAAATCTAGTGTGACCTAAAAATATTCTGAAGCTGGATTTGAGGTGTCAGCAGGGAAAAGCTATAGTGAAGCTGTTAACGTCAACACTGCATACAGAACGAAGTCTTCTGGTGTTCACTCAATCACAGTCACATAGTGATTACAGTCCTGCTAGCCTTGCTTAGAAAAGCAGAGAGAAAATAAGGCACTGCCTATATAGCAAGGGATTTATTATTTAGTTAAAGGGCACAGCACCAAGCAAGGTCTCTTGAAATCATATATAAGGAGATACAAGAACTTAAAAACGCAAAATGTAGTTTTCATAACTTGTTTTTGCCTTTTTGTCTGGTATTTTGACAGTCTGCACAGTTCTCATACAATTACATATGTGAAAGTGATTTGTAAAGTGGTGTTATTTGTACAACAATAGTTTATATTATCATATTTGAATATGAGAGTACATGAGAAGATTTAAACTTACCTCATGTCTGGGGAAAAGTCCACCTGACAAGCATAGCCTGCTACCATATGGCCCTTAAAGATTTTTTTCTTATTTAATCTAAATCTGTTCTGTGCTCCAAAAATTAAGATTTGGTTGTCCATTGATTGGCATGCTAGCCATTTCCCTGTAAATTCAATAAATGAGACATTTTAGAGAAAGACTGAAAATTTTAAAAAGACTTTATTTTAAATGTGTTCAGTCATTAATATTTTGATCTCAACTACTTTATAATAATAGGAAAATGAATTTACCATACCATCTACGAAGTATTACAAATGGGTCCCTATATATACTCTATTATATATAGAGTAGTGAATTTTGCTCATACAAGCATATGTCATGGAGTACTCTCTATATAAAAGCTTTTTTTTGTTTGTTTAAATAAGGACATACGGAAATTCTGAGTTTAGCACTAATAGAACTAAACTAAAATTTTATGAAATGAAATTAATTTGTACTAAGTATAGACAATAGGACCATGGGGAGAAAGAGACTTACCGATGTTAATTATGGGGAAAAAAAGATTAACTTTAGGTGAGAAAACCTAGGATTATTAAATAAAACTGTATGAAAAAAAGAGATGATTAAAAAAATTGTAGTAAGTGTTGCTGGAAGGCCACACTGTCTTTATCTACCCAGGATTCACGATGGCCCCTAGCACCTAAACTACAGTATCTTCTTGCATCCTATATACTTACAGACATTATTAACCAAGGGGATGATCCTAACAATGCTCATAGTCTGAGTGGGTAAATGGCCTTGTTCAAGATGGGCACAGTATTTGTAATGGATGATTTAAAAATATACTACATGAAAGGTAGATGCATGACGGCAAATGTGACAAAGTATACAATAGGGTGATTATCAAAATAGGACCCAGTTAGGTTGTTCTTCTCATAAAAATCAGGGCATTTAGCAAATGATCACCAATTTGCCTGTGGCAGATGCCCTGATGGAAGAGCCAACTACTTGTTGCCTCCTCTTCCTTGCTCTAGCCTTACAGTAGCTACGTGAGTTTATTGGCTTTGACGACAATACTGCCCAAACATGAGATCCTCCACTTTAATACCCTCATGCAGAGCTATAATCGTATCAGTATACTGTCAATATATCTGCAGTATGAATTACCTTGTACTTAAAAGGCAACAGTTTATTGAATAGAAAACAGTATTAAATAGATTTCTCTCTTTTCTTTTTGCCTGAGAAAATCTTTTATACTAAGTGCTAAGGTGTTCTCATTATGGGGAATCAGACCAAAATTTTCTATCTCCTGAATGAAAAAGAGCTCCCAGTAAATTACTAAATGAGATGTTGAACATGATTCTGTTCGAAGGAGAATTATTAACAAAAAAGCCCCCTGATTCTCAGATGGAAATCCTTAGATGCTCAGTCATGTTAGTTGCAAATCATTGTTTCTTTTATTTTTATTTTTTCCAAAAACAAGAGAATGGGTGAGGTGGCTCACATATGCAAACCAGTGATTATTTCTAACATTGGAAAGATTTCCTTATATAAGTATGGCACACAGACAGACCTCCCCTAGGAGGGAATGGCCAAGGTTCTTTGAATACAGAAATCACACCGTGTCCTCGAAGCTCATTTAGAAACACATGCTATCTACTAACTCACCATTTGGAGACAAAGTCACTGCGGGCATTGAGTGCATACTGGGTTCTGCTATATACTTGAAATCCACAGGGATATCCCTAAAAGTTAAAAATAGCATATCAGAGTAAGTAATTTTAAAAAGCACTTTCAGAATAATTATCTCTGAAACAAAAGAGATACTCTTGAAATCATATATTTAATAAATTTTTCATGAAACTTCCCAGAGGAAGGACAATCACAAAATGACATTCTATTGATTATAAATCTTTTACTTCACAAATGACTTTCCATGACAATTATAACAGTGTCAGTGATTTAGTTTTCAAGCTCTAGCTGATTTACACTTTGACCTTCATGTTACAAAATCTGTTACTGGAAGTTCTTTAATAATGAGCTCATCTAAAAACGTACCATGGTAGGCAGTAGCAAGATGTCTGAGGCAAGCCTACAGGGAAGTATTCTTATTTTACCTGCCAGTCAATCTTGTTACTCTGCAAGCAGGTGAGAGTGCTAAAGAGTCTTCAGCAATGCAGGTGGATGGTAGGCAAAGCTGTAAAGGGAGTGGCAAGCAGGTTGAGCCCATCTAGAAATAATGAGATTTCTGGAGGGGTAAGGGAGATAAATGCTTGGTACCTGGCCATCTTCTGTTTTCAGTTTACATGTAAAGTATTCCAAATTTGTATGGTGCAGGAGAAAAAGCATTACAGAAATTCTCATGTGAGTGACACAGAGGAATAAACAAAAACAACAAAAATCTAACACTAGTCGCTTAAATCTAGAACCATCAAAGGTTCTAAGTGCCTTTTCATTTTTAATATTCTTCGTGATAAAAAATTCTTTAGTAATTCTGAAGGATTTTGATCTTGTTGCTTTTCATTAGAGACCAGAAATGTTTTTTACAGAGTAATGTGTGGGAAATGTAATCTGATAAATAACACAGAATATAAAGCAGCAATTTCAATTTCAAACTATGGTTCAAGTCCAGTACTTTGATCAATTGGAAAATAATAATAATAAATTAATCAATTAGCAATTTATTATCTAATTAATTAATAATGTAATAATAATAATAATTATTAGTCTTTAAGTAAGGATTTTCTCTATCCATATATCCATCCATCCAGAAGAAGGAACAAATGATTAGAAAAAACTTCTATCAGGGTCTTGGTTAGAGGAAAAAAATTTCGGGTATATCCTGGGAATAGTACCATTTATCAGATCTCCAAACCTTTACATCTCTAAGGTACCAATGAGAACTGACATTCAGAGTGACGCAAATATACTGAAAAGAGTCTCAATTTGAAAAAGGTTCAACTGTTTTTCCCTCCTCCTATTTATTATTAGTGGCTAATAATTTTATAACATGGATTAAAACATAAGAACACTTTCTAAATTAAATTAACCATAGTTCAGGCCCATATCAAGCACTGTGTTACTAAAAGTAAACCAAAGATTTTAAACAGATCCCTTATTTCAAGGACTCTTGGTACAATGAGCTCTAGAACAAGAAATGAATTTGAACACTCTGTGAACTTCATTATTTCTAGTAAAAATGCCTGCTAGGCATAGTTATATTTAATAAACACAACAATGTTTTCTAATTAGAAAATGTAATTCAGTATAATAAGCTAGTAACTTATATCTAACAAACAATCTTCAGTCTGGAAATGAAATCATTGAAAAAACCCTAACAAAAAGCTACGAAATTTTAAAGCTAAAAGATAAATAGTAGTGTCAACTTCTGTAAAATTTTCTTTCAAAAATATTTTAACAAAATAAATACCTTTGGGAGAAAACATGTCTATGACATCTCATCAATTTAGCCGATTAGAATACCCAAGGCTGCTGAATATCTAATTATAATCTCTTATTCTCCTTTAAAATTGTATAATAGTCTTAGCTTGTATAGTAGAGCTTTTCCTTTAAGATCAGGAACAACACAAGGGTGTCCACATTCGCCACTTGTAGTCAACATAGTACTAGAAGTCCTGGGCGGAGCAATTAGGCAAGAAAAAGAAAGAAAAAGTATCCAAACTGGAAAGGAAAAAAAACTGTCCCTATTTGCAGATGACATGAAACTATACTATATGTTGAAAATGCAAAAGACTCCATCAAAAAACTGTTAGAGCTAATGAAGTCAGTAAAGCTGCAGGATACGAAATCAATATACAAAAATCAGTTGTGTTTCTATACACTAATAATGAACTACTGGAAAAAGAAATTAAGAAAACAGGTCCATTCACAATAGCATCAGAAACAATAAAATACCTGGGAATAAATTTAACCAAGAAGGTGAAAGATCTGTACACTGAAAATTATGAAACACCAATGAAGGAAACTAAAGAAGACATAAATAAATGGAAAGATATTCTGTGTTCAGGGATTGGCAGACTTACTGTTGGTAAAACGTCCACACCACCCATAGTGATCTACAGATTCAATGCAACACCTACCAAAATTCCAATGGCATTTTTCACAGAAATGGAACAAACAATCCTTAAATTCATAGAGAACTACAAGACTCTGACTAGCCAAAGCAATCCTGAGAAAGAACAAAGCTGGAGGCATCAGGCTGCCTGATTTCAAACCATATTACAAAGCTATAGTAATCAAAACAGTATGGTATTGGCATAAAAACAGACACATAGATCAAATGCAAGAGAATGGAGAGCCCAGAAATGAACCCATGCATATATAGTCAATTAATTTTCAACAAAGGCGCCAAGAATATACAATGGAGAAAGGACAGTCTCTTCAATAAACAGTGTTGGGAAAACTTGATATCCACATGCAAAAGAATGCAAGTGGACCCCTATCTTACACCATACACAGAAATCACCTCAAAATGGACTAAAGACTTGAACATAAGACCTGAAACTGTAAAACTCCTGAAGAAAACACAGGGGATAAGCTCCTGGACATTGGGCTTGGCAATGATTTTTTGGGTTTGACAGCTTAAGCAAAAGCAACAAACACAAAAATAAACCAGTGGGACTACCTCAAAATAAAAAGCTCTGTACAGCAAAGAAAACCATCAATGAAATGAAAAGGTAACCTAGGGAATGGGAGAAGATATTCGCAAACCACATACCCGATGGGGTCAATATCCAAAATATACAAGGAATTCATATAACTCACCAGCAAAAAACCAAATAACTCAATTAAAAAATTGGCAAAGGGCCTGAATAGAGACTTTCCCATAGAAGACAAAAAATGGCCAATGGGTACATGAAAAAGTGCTCAACATCACTAATCATCAGGGAAATGCAAATCAAAACCGCAATGAGATATCACCTCACACTTGTTAGGATAGCTATCATCAAAAAGACAAGAGATGATAAATGCTGGTGAGGATGTGGAGAAAAAGGAACCCTTGTGCATTGTTGCAGGAATGTAAACTGGTGCAGCCACTATGGAAGTATGGAAGTTCTTCTTGAAATTAAAAATAGATCTACCATATGATCTATCAGTCCTACTTCTGGATCTATATCCAAAGGAGACGAAATCACTATCTCAAAGAGATATCTGTACTCTCATTTTCAATGCAGCATTATTCACAATAGCCAAGGTATGGAAACAACCAAGTGTCCACTGATGGATGAATGGATAAAGAAAATGTGGTATTTATATACACAAGGGAATAAAGAAGGAATGCTGCCATTTGCGACAACATGGATGAACCTGGAGGGCTTTATGCTAAGTGAAATAAGCCAGACAAAGACAAATACTGTACGGTATCACTTACATATGCAATTGAAAAAAAAAGGTCAAATTCATAGAAACAGAGAGTAGAATGATGGTTGCCTGGGCCTGAGAGGGTGGGGAAATAGGGCGAGGCCAGTAAAAGGGTACAAATTTAGCTGTATGATGAATAAGGTCTGGGGATTTAAAGTATAACATAGTGACTATGGTTGATAATACTGTATTATATAATTGAAATTTGCTAAGAGAGTAGAACTTAAGTGTTCTCACTAAACAACAACAAAAGGTAAATATGTGAGCTGATGAAAGTGTTAACTCATGGTGGGAATCTTTTCTCAATGTATATCAAATCATTATGTTGTATACTTTAAATATATTATAATTTTATTTGGCAATCATACCTCAATAAAGCTGGGGGAAAAAAAAGAACTCAAGCTTTGGAATCAGTTTGATCCGAGTCTGAATTTTGGGCCTTTCATGTCTTGTTAAACCTCGGGCAAATTATTTAACCTATCTTAGTTTCCTTATTTATAAAACAGGAATAACAAACAAAACTATGACATGAAATGAAATAGTTCACACAAAATGCTTAGCATGCCTGGCAGATAGAAAGGGTTCAACAAATGTAGCATCATTCATAATTATGGCGACAATGATTTCCTTAGATATTCAGTGCACACTACAAGCCAGGTACTGTGCTGGTGCTGGGGACAGATGGAGAGCATGACTGACACACTTCTTTCTCTCATGGTTAAGAACTTGTCAGAGAAGAGGGACAAATAAGCAAGCACTAAAAAGCTGTGGGAAGCAAAAGACTGTGGGGGATGATAGAGAAGAGGCAGCTATCCTCACGAGAGGATTGGCTGGGAACGCTCCAATAGCAAGTGAGGATTAAATTGAAATCTAAAGGATGTCATCACTTATAATAAAACAGTATTATGACTCTTAAGAGTATTTCTTAAGCTCTGAGAAGGAAAAAAAAAGAAACATGCTAACATCACCCCTTAATCTAATGAAAATATTTTGCTGACCAATGCTCTATTTTAGAACACACACACACACACACACACACACACACACGTGTTCTTAAAGCCCTGTAATTGGTGCATTATTTAAATATTTACCAATTTCTTTTATACAACTGCATATTTTAAAATGGAGCTGAAATATCATCTGAAGACAGAAACATTTGAAAGTTTAAGTACAATCAAACTGTTAAAATATATAAACAAAACAAGGACATGTATGTTTATTCTCTGGAGTATCATGAAAATGATCTAAGGTGGCTCATACAAAACTTAGTGTTCACGTCAGATTCTCTGCATGTGACATCATTTCTGAAGTAAGAAAGATCTCAGTTATAAGATAGTCTCCAATCATGGACCTTAAGGATGACGCTAAGACTAAATAAAAAGTACAGTCATCTCTTCCTTAATTGGGGGTAATCTGAAGGGGTGTACTGGTGGTGAGTGTGGGAGAAACTACAGTTAAATTACATTAAATCTTCAATTATCCAAATTGCCCTAAAAATGGTTAGGAACCTGCTCACCTCCCCAAAGGGACTCAGTTTTAGGAGGAAACTACTGGCTGTAGTTCAAGGCTTCCCACTTCCTAGAGCAGAACAAGTGCTGGGGGTGGGAAGGCACACTCTCTAGTCCCTGCAAGGCTGCACCCACGGTTGAGCTGTGCTCCATCACTGACTAAAACACAAGAGAGGTTCCAACCAAACATTCATTTTAACAAAAAGATTACTATGCATTTCTTTGTAAATTATAAAACATGATCTATGATCCTTGGTGAAACCAACTTTAGTATTTCTTCACTTTATAAAAGTGTTTTTTTTTTTTTTTTCCTCTAGGAAAGCACAACTAACCAATATATTCTGATTATATTCTACAAGTAAAACATTTGTTTCCTACCATTACAGGCTATGAATGGTAGGATGCAGGGGTCATGATATGGGGCAGTTTTCAGTACTGAATAATCCTAATGCAGTCATTTAAAAAAGTAAGAGTGGGGCTGGCCCTGTGGTGCAGCGGTTAAGTTTGCTCGTTCTGCTTCAGTGGCCTGGGGTTTGCCAGTTTGGATCCTGGGTGTGGACCTACGCACCACTTACCAAAGCGATGCTGTGGCAGGCATCCCACATAGAAAGCAGAGGAAGACGGGCAGGGATGTTAGCTCAGGGCCAGTCTTCCTCAGCAAAAAGAGGAGGATTGGTAGCAGATGTTAGCTCAGGGCTAATCTTCCTCAAAAAAAACCAACTAAGAGATTTTTCAGTATTTTCTCTGAGTTGGTTCTGAGGCCAGGCTCTTATGCTGAATCCCTATTGTAACCAATATAGTCTATACATTTCTGGCTCCCACTTCTCATCAGGCATTTGCAAAGACAAGTAAGATCCCTAACAAAGAACGTAAAACAGCACACAATATGAACTTCTCACCACTTGAAGAAAATGACTCAAAATACATATCCTCTAGACAGACTATCCAAAGACGATGAAAGGTAGCATGTTTAAATTTTTATTCCCATATTCTGGGTATTTAAATAGTTAAGACAGTTTGACTGGCAAGCCAGAGATCACAGTTGTGAAAATATTCAAATGGTTGTATATTATCAGCCTTTGCCTTTGGTTACAAATTTATAAATTGCTTGCCTTATATAAATCAGATTTTCTACTGATAGAAACTCACCATTCCCAAACTCTTAGGCTCTTATCATCAGATGTGCTCACAAATCTCCTATTTTCATCAACAAAAACAATGGTGTTGACAGCTCCCAAATGCCGATCATATTCCTGCACAATTTCTCCACTTCGAATGTCCCACTGTATATCAAACAAAAGAAGAGGTAACGTCAGAAGTGGAGCAGATTTAAGAAAATGAACAAAGTCATAATTACAGAAAGGGGAGAAGGAAAAGGTCTCCAACATCATGTTTTCATGACTTCACTGTTTTCTACTAAGAATAGGGCATCAGCAGTCCCTAAAAGTAACAAACATTAAACAAGCTAATATTCCTTGCTCCATCCTGATATAACATAAAGCTCAGGAATCTTAATGAAAATATTGTGAGAAGACTTACTTGCACAATCTTTTTATCAGACATCCCAGCCACAAAGAGATTTTGCTTATCTTCATCAGGATTAAATTTGACACAGTAGGGTACTTTTCGATTTGTAAATCTTGATATACACTGTCCTAAAACCAAAGACCCAAGTCAAAGTAGGTAAAATAAATTTAACCACTTAAAGATTAAGATCCAGAGATCATCTGCTTAACACATTTTGAGGAAGGACAGCCTGCTTATTCTTTACTGTAAATGACATTGTTTTCTTTTCAGGGATTTTTAATGGTTAAAAATAATTTTTTCAGAAGTAAATCAGTGTCATCAACTGCAGAAAAGATAAAGCCCTCCACGTGATTACAGTGTGCAGCCAGAGCTGAGGAGCACTACTGAAGAGGCTGAGGGAATGGGCTTTGGCATGAGTGACCTGGGTTTGAACCCAATTTGGCTATTTACTAGTTACGTGACCCTGGGAAAGTTACCTCTTTAAGCCTCAATTTCCTCATCTTAAAACTCAGCAAGATGAAAGATGATTTTCTATATAAAAGTATATTAGCCACAATGTACTGATGCAATTAATATGTCTGTGACTGTGGAAAACCAATTGGCCCATGGAACTTCAGATTTACAGTTTAATCAATTTGGGCAATCAAATTTAATTCTGTTCATCAGACATTTATTGTGCTTCTACCAAGCACAATGCAGTATGCCAGGTGATGTAGGGGAACAAAAAGATCAATTAAATGGTCTATGGAAGATTCCAAATTTGCTTGTGTATCAACATGTTTGCTTCATAAATCATATTTGGTGGAAACAAAGTTTCATAGTGAAAGAGCCTCCTTATATAGCTGAGTTTCAACTCTACATTTTGTGATATTAGCTGATAGTCAATGGTATGAGAACCAGCAGTTAAAGCTACCATTTTGCCACAGAGGACCACCCACATTGTTTCATTTATAAATGCTAATTTAAAGATAAATACATATGAGTATGTGAGCTCTTACCTGTCTCAGTGTCCCAGAGCTTCAGATACCTGTCGTAAGCTGCGCTGAGGAACTGTGTCCCTGCAGTATTAAAGCAGATGTCCCTCACAGCTTTACTGTGACCTAAAGGCAGAGACAACAGAAGGGGAGTTGAGGTGAAGTATCTTCTCTTAAAATAGAAGAGAAACAGCATGAAACAATGGTTTCAAGCCACTCACTGAGTCAAAATCACCAGAACCCTGTCCCGATTTACTGACTTAGAATGAGTGATGTGTGTGCTTGGGAATGGAGGTGCTCTCCCCACACTCCCTTCAAAAGGCTGCTCAGGTGATTCCAATGCATAACGTTAGGTAAGACCAAGAGAAAAGATCTAATATCTTCTTCTGAAAGTCTGTCATGGCAATCTCTTAATATGTAATACATACAACTGATGACTAAACAGCCAAGAATTTAAGGAAACATAATAGGCCAATTACTGCCAATGAAAGAAATGACTAGTGACATTTTGGAGGTTCACTCAGGTTACTCACCAAGCTGGAAATGAAAACAAGGTGCCCTGAACCTAAAGTTCATGAAATTTTAGCCCTTGTTCAATAACTACATATTTCTTTTCTTACATTACTAAATTTCATAGAAATGGATTTAGAATCTCAGAGACTAAGCCTTTTTGAAAACAAACATTAACTTCTATTTTGTTTTAAGATGGCATTTTGACAATAAATTAACTTTAAGGTGCTTTTCTTGGAAATCAATCTTGCCAGACCAATCGACTCTGTTGAAAGGTTTTGTTGCTGTTAGTGCTGTCGAGTGGATTCTGACTCCTTGTGACTCTGTACAGCAGAGCAGAACCAGAACTGCCCCTCTTTTTGCGCCATCCTCTCACCTTCTAGTACTATATCAGACAATGCTCTGCTGCTATTCACAGGGTTTTCATGGTCAATTTTTCTGGAAGTGGGTGGCCAAGTCCTTCCCAGTCTGTCTTAGTCTGGGAGCTTCACGGAAACCTGTCTACCATGGATGACCCTGCAGGTATTTGACATGCCAGCTTTGAGCATCACATCAACACGCAGTGCCACAGTATGACAATCAACAGACAGGTGGTGTGTGGTTCCCTGACCGGAAATGATCTTGGGCCATGGCAGACAGAACACGGAACCTTAACCACTAGGCAACCAGGGTGGGCTTTTCAAAGCTACAGGGACATATAAAACGTGGTTAAATGAAAGCAAAAACTTTTCTATTTTTTACCACCCCACCATGACTGACACTACCGAGTACAATTATAGAAAATGGGCATGGCACAAATTGTCCACCGCACACAGCAGCCCTGAACCACCTCACCTCTAGTCAGGCAGTATGTGCCATGGCAATGAGGCCTTCTTTTCTATAGCAGGAGTCCTGGTCAGAGCTGCTATCATCTTCCTAAGTAGGAAATTTTCAGTTTTCCACTGAAAAACTGTCTGCCAGTGCAGGGGAGACAGACGGGAATCAAATCCACTCCATCTGCAGCAGACATTTTGTTCCCCTGGACCTGCTGAGAGCCTCCGCACAAGGCTTCCTGGAGGCGGCTACAGCGTCTCGGGCAGTATTTATTTGTGCAGTGAGGTCCTAAGATCATAACAAAGCCCTGCAGAGTGGACTCCTGCTTGAATCTAAAAACAGAGGCACTACGATGCACACAAATAGTGTTCCAATGTGGTACAGTTAAGTTCAGAAATGTAACTAGCCTTCACACGAAATCCGACAAAGACAACAAAGTATTCTCTACCGAAAAGGCTCATCTGCCACAAAGCTGTCCTCTCTTTGGCCTCTTCTTTCCTTTAGGAGTTCTCTCAATCTCATCCTTTTACATGCTTTAGTTGCCAATTCCCAACCCTTCTTCAAAGCTTAACATTTGGCAATCTAATTGCTTACTGGACATTTTCATCTCAATATCCCAAAGGCAGCTCAAATTCAATGAGTCTGAAACTTCCTGATCCTCTTACACTCCCTCTCTTGGTGAGTGGCACCACCATTCACACAGCCACCTGGGAGTATGAGTAAGTCTCCCCCTGCAAGACCCAGCTCAAGTCTAAGAAGACCTTCCTTCACATGAGTGTAGTAAAATCGCTGTCAACGATGTTATCTTAGTTTAAAAAGTCTTTCCAAACAGATCTATAGCCAGAGAAAAAAGAAGCATTACCAATAAATGTTCGCAGACAGCGCCTGTCTCCATAAACCTCCCATAGCTGGGGAAAAAACAACACACAAAAATATAAATTTAATGCAAGACTTTGATAAAATCACAACTTTCAATCATTAACAATAGCCACATGTTGGCTCCATGTGTGCATATCTGTGTGTGTACAAGGGATTTAACCAAAGGCATTACACATCATTAAACATACTGCTTGGTGCTGCTAGTCTGTGTTGCTCTATTTGGATTAGACTTACACACACACACACACACACACACACGGACTAAACTTTGAAATCTCATATTTAAAGATATATCGAAATATCTAGAGAACTTAACTTAGATGGAGCTAATACAGGTAATTTTCATTTCCTTCATGTTCTTTTCTATAATTTGATATATTTTCTACGATGAAAAGTTTCTATTTATACAATATTATGAAGTACTTTTAAAAAATTAAATGTTATTAAAACTGCCATGTTGGGGCCGGCCCTGTGGCGTGGTGGTTAGGATCAGTGCACTCTGATTCAGTGGCCTGAGTTTGTGGGTTCGGATCCCAGCTGTGGATCTATACCACTAGTCAGCCATGCTGTGATGGTGACCCACATACAAAATAGAGGAAGATTGGCACAGACGTTAGCTCAGAGCTAATCTTCCTCAAGCAAAAGAAGAGGAAGATTGGCAACAGATGTTAGCTCAGGGTGAATCTTCCTCAGAAAAAAACCCCCCAAAAACGAAAAAACCTGCCATGTTTATAACATTTTGGTACTAAAAGTTTTTTTTTATTTTTAACTTTTCTGAAGTAATGAATATTACAGAAGCTGTATGAAAATGATGATGTAGACTAAGATGTAATAGGCTCATAATTCTCATCATGTCTACAAAGAATCAACACAATAGCTTCAAAACTACCTTTACTCTTGTCTGCCTCAAATCCAGTGCTCAACAATGCTGCTAGTGCTCTAAGATAGAAAGCATTTCCTGGCCACCCAGTGCCAACAGGATCAAGTCTCAGTTCCGGCAGCATACCAGGACCTGCTGATCCCTTGCCTATGACTATAGTCATTCTGTGTCTCTCTCAGATTTTAGACTCCAGCAAGCACACAACTTGGTTCTCAGCACAACCATGCTGCTTCAGTCTATTCACTCTTTTCAGACATACTTCACTCCCTACGCTCCCCACTCTTTACTTAGTTACCTTCCTATTGAGGTAGGCTTCCTCCTTGAAACCAGAACACCTTGTGCCTGCCTCTATAAAGATCATTTATGTCATAATGAAATGATCACCCTACAGACAGGGATAGCGTCTTAATAATTCTTTATCCTCAGCCCCTTACACATAATATGTTTATACAAGTGAACTAAACTGAATTCTATGCTTTTCTTAACGGGTCAAAGAGAAGACCATAATCTCAATTAACATAGTTTGTATAAAGTGAAAGTTAAAGGAAATTAAGAGTTTTTACTCAAAACTGTTGATCTGTCATTATAAGCTACTAGAGACAAATGCCTAAACGGCTGCTCTCATCAAAAGCAGCTGCCTTATTTATACATTGTTAATATCCATGAATTATTTACAAAGAATAAAAGTTTAACGATTCAACTTGCCAAGCTCCAATGGCATTATAGGGTTGATATTTATTGACCGTCATAATGATCTGGACACAGAAGACACAAAAAAGATAAGAACTATTCTCCTAGATTTAAGATTTTTAAAAGGCCTTCCTCATATTCAAGTTGACATGCACTGGCAACTGGGTTTTCTCTATCACCCCTTCTACGGCTGAACATCAGCTAAAGGTAGAGCTCCCCAAGACTGGAAAAAGTGGGAGAAGAGTCTGGGAGGAGTTCTACTTGATGCCTACTAGCATTTAGAAGAAAAAGGATGAATTATATTACCTACTCTCTAAAAATGGGATTTCTATCACATGTCCTCTCTACCTCAAAAGGCCCTGAGGAACAAATGAACTCAGTTACATATGCAAAGCCTCTATAAAAATGCATTATTAGTGATTAAATGTTTATGTGTCTAAAGCCAAAGGGATTGATTACATTGTAATCAGTCACGGAAGCTTAAAAAAGAGCCTAGTGAACTGGACCACAGAGCCATATTTCAACCAACATGTTTGGAAGCAGTTCATAAAGGCTGCCTTCACAGGGCCTAAGAGAAAAAATTAGCCTCTGCCTGCCTAACAAACCCAAATTTATATATAATTAACCAAAGAGACTTAACCAAAGCACTAGCTTTGCAGCACTCCTCCTGTTACTGAAAACTCACCTTAATTTTACAGTCCATGGAACAAGACAGCAATAAATGGCCGGAGAGAGGAAACAGTCTGACTGCGCTGACGCCCTATGAAAAGGTATCACAGCTGTCAATCAGAAGCACTCTAAAGTCAGCTAAAATTGAACACACGGAAAGGGCAGGATATTTTCAAGCAACTTAATCTACTACTTTTCTTCATTCCAGAAATCATGCCACAGAATCACCCTCATTAGTATTCTTAAAGCAGCCCTTACTGACACTAAGCTTTTGAAGGTGTTTTTTTTAACCTTTAATGTTGACTTCCTCGCCCAAGGGAATTCTTAGTCAACCAAGCTGCTGATGCCCCGACTCCTATCCTTCTTTTACTCAGTCTCTTTGCTCTTTGCCAAGAGCTGAAAATTGTCAGTTGGAATAGTGCAGACGACAAAGAATATCAACATGTAAAGTCTTCAAGTAACTCGTCTCTGCATTAGTTTAACTGTTACCATAGTTTATAAACCAGGGAGCATCTAATCTTCTCTGAAGTGTGATAACCCCAAGAGCTAAGGCAAAATTACTGAGGCTTTGGTGCTAGTAGCAGCCCATTATTCACTGACTGGGTGCCCAAGAGGACGCAGGCTGTAGCAGAAACTTGTGGAGAGAGGCCTGGGCCACCATAAGGGGTCAGGACACCAAATCATGAATGCTTATGTCATGGCCCACCCAGATGACCTTGAAGACTGAGTGACCAATGTACTTGTGACCAATACATGTGGTGACCTCCAAAGCCCAACTCAGGTTTACCTTCAATTTGGCTTCCTTGCTCCATCTTCACTTCCCTACATGTTTACCAGAAATACTGAATGTTCCATATCAACAGCTGAAACTTTCTGTTGGCTTCATTATTATGCATTACAACAAACAAAAACAACCAACTGCTTACCTTTGTGTGTCCGGACCACACATGAATTTGTTTTTTGGGAAGATAACACTTCTCAGGTGGCACAGTTGACCGCAGATTGACACCAACATCCTGAGGTATGTGAAGATAGGACCTGCCTTGATAGTCATACATTTCTTTAACTGAAATAAGAACGCAAAGGAAAGCAGTGAATACAAGCCATAGTCATGAAATCTATATTCTTCTTTTTTTTTCTGCTGAGGAAGATTAGCCCTGAGCTAACATTTGTACCAATCTTCCTTCACTTTATGTGTGGGTCGCTGCCACAGCATGGCTGACGAGTGGCATTAGGTACGCACCCAAGATTGAACCTGCAAACCTGGGCCGCTGAAGCAGAGTGCGCTGAACTTAACCACTACACCATGGGGCTGGCCCCAAAATCTATATTCTTAAAATGATAACTAACATTTTATTCATAGGGATATCATTCCATATCAAAGTTTAAGTAATAATACTCTGATGGTAAAACCAAGAGTCAGTTAAAATTTAGTTGCCTGAAATCATTGCTATTATTTACAATTAGAGATATTATTTTGGAATTCCTAAACATCCAGAGAATATCAGACCTTTAAATAAGATGTATACTTCTTTTACTCAGTTACACACTTTAGTGCTATATAAAAAAGACTTCACTGCAGTATAATTATAGTGAGAGAAGAAGAGACAATAGTTGGGCCTTCTAAGTCACTGGCAAAGAACCAGAAGCAAAACAGAATAAACAGAAAGTTAAAACAAAACAAAAAATATCAATTATCCCTTTTCCCCTGCTTTCCTCTTTTATGCCCTTCCAGGTTCTTTTCCCATTCTCTTTTCTACTTTCAACACAGATTTTACAATAAAGCCACTTGTGGGAACTAAATAACATGGTGTATATAAAGCATGCCTGGCACAGAGTAGGTATTCAATAAATGGTGGCTGTCATTGTTGTTATGGCTGCCAAGCACCACAGAACTACAAAGATTCCTTGAAGATAAACTGGAGCTCAAGAAACCAAATATGGCTTTATCAAACCCAAATATTTGATATGTGATATAACATTAGAATAAGCAATATTATCAGAACTGAATTATTCTTTAGAGTTTCAGATAATTACTATATAATTTCCTAAATAAAACTAATTATTAATGAACCAGGTACATTCTAGAATATTTATAATTTATTTTGGTGAATATGCATTTCCTTCCACAAATCAAAATAAGTATGAGAGTCTTAATCTCTAATCTATTCACATGAAAAACAAAGTTTATTCTTTTAAAATATAACTTAGTAACAGCTATAAACTGTGAGGATAGCTGAAATATTTGATTTAGGCTAAAAACAAAAGGTTAAAATGACTAGGGTACTACTAACACACGAAAAAAGTCAACTTTATCTTAGGAAAGAACATGTGGACCACTCAAGTTTCTTCTTTATCATTTTTAAAAATTCATTAGCACTAAAAAAATTATCTGTGGCTAGCATTAATCATGTGATTTTTCTCTTTTATTAGAACATAGGAGAGTTTGCTATAATTTCTTTCTTTCTTTATTTTTTGGTTAGGAAGATTGGCCCTGAGCTAACATCCATGCCAATCTTCCTCTACTTTGCATGTGGGACACTGCCACAGCATGGCTTGATGAGCAGTGTGTAGATCTTTGCCCGGGATCCGAACCTGTGAACCCTGGGCGACCAAAGTGGTGCAAGTGAACTGAACCACTGCACCACTGGGCCTGGCCTACTATAATTTCTTTGGGATGCAAACTGTCCAACATAATTCTTAATATAATGAATTACAGCAGCTGATTAGTAAGGGCAATTGATATTATATGAAGAGAGGACAGTAAATATCTGAAAGTTGATCATAAAAATTGAGAAGTATAAAAAATATGTTACCATGTAAGATTGTCTTTTCCTCCCCAGGTTTCTCTTCTTCTTGTTTGCCTTTTTTCTGCCTCTTTGCTGTGATTTCGTCCAATTCTTTTTGTTCTTCCTAAGGAATTTAAGAGTAAACTTTAAAACGGATGTTCTAGAACCCCATCATTGCCAAAGCTGGTTACAAAGTTTTTATAAAGAGGTCTACTTTTTGGTGAAGCAGCATCTTCACGTCAGCAGATGCTGTCCCAGGAGTAACAATGTCAACTTTCCGACAGATCACAAAATGGCATTGAACACATATGGAAACTGGTTAAGATTTTTAAACTCATTTTATAGAAAACCCGTCCTTCTGGAACACCAGAAATAAATTTAACGTGTTATGCTAATTATGCAAGCAAAAAGACGAGGCAATTAGAAAATCTAGTACCAGAAAGGAAACTGAATTTTAGCACACCATGTTGTTCTTCAGTAAATATGTTTTACATGGTCATAAGGATATAAGCAACGACTATAGATTTGTGACACAATTTTTGTGGGAGGAGCAGTGGAAGGAAGGTGGGGTAGTAGAAAATATTCATTTATAGTAAAAAAGAAGTTAATAATGATGTCTAAAATAAGTAAGTAGCAGCCTATATATATTATTGAGATATACGGATGTACGATACAGCTAGAATATAAGCTTTCATGAATACAGAATCTCCTTGATCTTGTCCATCGCTATATCCCTAAGACCTACAACAGACTGGCTCATGGAGACAGTGGGATTAGGAGGTGGGGACGGACAGGGTAGGGTTCTATACTTTTACTTCATATACTTCATATTATTTTTTTTTTTAAAAAACAATATAGATATATTACTTTGTTAAAATTTTTAAATAAATAAATAAAACCCACCATCAATTCTAAAATCATAGACAGGCTGATTCTGTAGTTACTATCTGAGTATCTGGTATCAGAACAGCAGCTACTATGGCAGCTTAATAGCATTAACAAGGTGATTTTTATTAAAAACTGTTGAATATTATATTTTAATTAAAAAGTATGGAAGAAAATAAATCAGAAAAAATATAAGTAAAAATATTCCAAAGAAAAACAAAGAAATCTTACTGTATTTTCTCAGTCAACCAAAGCAGAGAAATTCTGATGAGTCATTTGGTTCCCTGAGGAAATCTCAAATTTATTAACACAGCTATCCCTCATAGAGATACAGCATACACCTGAACTGACAAGGAAAAACATCAAAGCTTACTTCTGAAGGTTTGGCTACATCTTTTTCATCCACATATTTTGCCCATGGTCCCAAGAAACCATCAATATTAGATGCATCATTTTCTTTGAACTTTTTCCTCTTTTCTATTTTCTTCTGACCAGTTTCAAACACAGTTAAACCTACATGAAAAAAACCCAGAGGACACAAATACAGATTTTTCTAAAAAAAAATAGCAGTATAATTTTACTTTATATGGTTAAGAGAAAGGTGATTGTTCACGTGACCAAAGATTTATTAAAATACATAAAGTCCATATGAATATGCCAGATACACCAACTCATGCTATCCAAAAGGGAGTCAACCTTTTGGGCAAAGAAGTTTACTAATGCAATATTTGCAAGTTCTAATATATGTAAAGAAAAGACCCAGCAATGGTACACAATCCTTTTAATGAAGCACAGATCTATATCAGTGAATATTACCACTTTCTGAAAGAAACTTAGCAATTTAATATTGCTAAATAATGATAAAGCTACCTCTGAAAGCAGGAATAAAATAAACTTTATCATTTAAAGACTGAATTAAATTACAGTAAGTAATAGCTCATCTTTGATTTACTTGTATTGCAATAATATATAAATTAAATACAGTTCACAAGAGTCTGGCAATTTTTCTAAGTGATCTCAAACTAAACTCGACCTCTAATATCATAAAACTTAACAGTAAGAAGAAAAGAGGAAAGAGGATGCTTCTGGTTGAGACTTTGATTTGATCACTAGGAGGTGGCATACTGTGTGCAGCTGTCAAATTGGAAAAAGAAAGGTCTATGGGAGTCATAGTAACAATTTAACTATTAACTGAGAACCTAGCTACATAAAGATGTGGCTTGTAGAAGTCTAATTTAAAGAAAAATGTTTACCTATATGAATTCGAATCAGTTTCTTCCGGCTGTGTGTTATAATAAAAGCTTGTTAAAATTCAATTTTAACAACAATCTAGCTTATATACCAAAGGCAGCTTGATCATATAGGGTCTGTGGCTACTAAGTGTCCTCATACAAACGGCATACTCTGTTTTTCATGAGCACTTTACGAAGATTCCAATGGGCTGATGAGCTTTGTGACAAGTTAGTGTTTAGAGTATGATACTTTGTCTTATAAGCACAAAATGAATATGACCACAAACATATATTTTAAAACACAGATTCAAACTCAGTCTTCAAAGCAACCCTTCAAAGACAATTTTCACAGACATCCACAAGGAAATTTTCTTCTGCTGTTAAAATGTAGCTTGACATTAGTGTTAAGAAATAAACTACTAAAATTAGCTATACATTAATTACAATTTATTGAATGGCTTCTACAGGATTGGCACCATGCCAAGTACTCATTCCAACCCCTGAAAATAGGTACAACCATCTTCCCCACCAGGTTCCATACCTAATAGAAGGCAAAAGCAAGTTCTAAATGGTGATAGTTCTAAACTATATCGCTCTAAACTCTATCACTATTATCTCAACTTAAAAAAAAAAAAAATCAAGAGCTAAATAGAATACTAGTTTTTTCCTACTGTCTAAAGTCAAACTGAAAGACAGTAAAGATATGCATATATATTTGATACTAAATATTTCAAATAAATTACCTTGATTTTTTTCAGCTTCTTCTACAGAGCCAATATATTTAGTAGACACTTGATGATTATCTAACGAAGGGTCCAATGCATAACCTAAAAGGAAAAAAGTACAAATTATTCACTCAATTTTTGCCATTTACAATTCATTTTAATTCTATGCAAATACACTCATTTCATGTTTTCCTTCCTAGATGTCGAAAATGGTCTCTTTAACTTAGGACCAATCCTTCTCTCCTGAGTTTTGTTTCCATTTAGAACAATTAACCCAAATCTCAGGCTGGGCCATGAATGACTTCAGCAGAATAAGAAGCATCATGGGATGAATCTAGTATATTGACCTCACATTACTAAGAGCCTCTCCAGCCAAGATATCAAACTGTGGTCTTACGTTTTGTAAGAGCTTAAAAATATATACGTATACATACAAAAATATACATTCAGAAGCTTAGAAACTGTTTTCTTTTTCTTTTTAACAGACAATATGTGACAGTTTATCAAATTATATAAACCATTAAATAATTTAAAAAATAGGGTAAGAAGAACTACATAAAATCTAGCTATTATTTTGAAAATGTCAATCTCAGCAAAGACAGTCTTCTCTCCTAATTTTAAAATAATATATTTCTACTTCATAAATCATTATTTATATTTCCTTAGTGAGAGAAGTAAGTATGGATATCTACTAGCATATGGAAACACTCTTTCAACTAGTGAAAGAGTGTATAGCTACGTATAAATGTGGTTTTCAGTGATCTATGGGAACTTAAGAAAATGTACATTAACTCAAATCAGTTTTTTCTCAAGTGGGGGTGCTAGCATGATAAATGTTTGGTAAAATCAGTTTTAATAATAACCCAGCATATTCACAAAAGAAAGCTGGATGGCTCGTCACTCTAGGGCCCACAAACCACGTGAACAATCATGGAATACATGAAAGTACTAGTGTTTTTTTTTTCTTAAAGGGCATATCCTAGTGGAAATAGGTATTTTAATTTTCTAGCTAAAGATTAAAAGGGAATTCTTTTGGGGAACAGAAAAAGATTTGTCATCAAACATACTTTTCAAACAAGCTAAGGATGTAGGTGTTCAACTCACCCTTGTGATATGCTAGAACAGAACCAACCACTTGGCTATTAGCTTATTTGCATTTAGTTTTGTTCAGTATTAAAATACATTCTTAGCCAGAGGAGAGAGTTTGATGGCAGAAAAGCAGCTTTGGAATAGAATCTCTGAAATCACAGGTTCAAATCCCATGAGTTATTTCATCTTTCATCTCTCTGATGTACAGAATAGTTTTCTGGAAATGTTTTTTTTAAATGAGACTGTATAAGGCTCATATAAAATTTAGACCAAAATACCCTAAGTTAAAAATCCCCATCTCAACCATAAAAATTTATCTAGAATGTAATTCAATCTTGAAGGAGATTCCTGTCTATATAAATGGCAGTGCATTATGTGTTTGGAGGGATGGAGTAGGAGGCAGAGAGTGAAGAGAAATCCCTGGTCCTTCTTGTGTTACTGTGTGAGCACCCATCCCTAACTCGTCTGGTCACAGTGTTGTTTCTGAGGAAAGGAACTTACGCTCTCCTCCTTTTCCACATCCTCATGGTAAAGTCTTTACTGCCACTATCACCATTACCACTGCTTCCTCCAACCCCAGGTAATTAGGGGATAATAGTATTTTCCCTTTACATATAAGGGCAGTTAAACATTTAGCTGTATGTCCTACTAGAGGTCAGCCAGTGGCAGAACTAGACATAGCTCTAAGAATACAGAATTTCAGTCCAATTAGTTTTCTACTATCCTGTGTCTCAAATAAGTGAATATTAGTTCTGAAATATGCTCATCTATCTTTCTGAAGCTTATTCTCCATTTTATCTTTTCAATGGAGTTAATGTCTATCTTCTTCCTTTGTAGTCTTATTTGAAATGGCTCTAATAATATCAATTTTATTACTAGATCCTTAAGATTATTAATACTAATGTCCCAATATATAAATGAAGAGAGACTAAATAAACAATTTGTAAAAACAATGGTCACAAATATATGGGAAAACCTTCAAAACTCACTAGTAGTCCAAATGAATAAAATTAAAATAAAGAGATAGAATATTTTGATTATCAAATAAACAAAGGAAAAACAATCCTAGATCTTGGGTAATGAGAGTAGGACTTTGATATATGGAGGTAGCAGTATAAGTTGGGAGAGTTCTTTAGGAAAGCAATTTGAGAATACATAACAAAAGCTTTAAAATCATTTACATTCTTAGGCCTGCTGCTGGGAATTCATGTTAAGAAAATAACCAAAAACAAAGTTTTATGCACAAAGATATTCAGCACCACATTTTAAAAAGCAGTTTAATATATACGTCACCACATTTTGAATAGTGAAAACCGGAACCAACTTGAAATCTAAATGATGTAAGAAATGTTTACATAAATTATGACATCTTCAGGAGAATATTTTAAAAAATTATTTAAAAAGGTTAATAAAGAGTTTCTAATATTGAAGTTAAAACTCAGTTAATAATAACTATGGTGAAACTAAAGGTGTTTACTTTAAATTCTATTTTTCAGTTCCATAGACTGGTGTAAAGAAAATTCTCGGTGAAAGTAGGACAAAGGGAAGAAACCTGATTGAGAAGCCCCAAGGAAGACCAGCAAGGGAGCAGGCCAGGAACCCACGACAAGGGAGGAACAGATGACAAAAGAATTCACACAAACCACTGAGAGACAGAGAAGGCAGGTGAAACACCATAAATAGGAGCTAAAAGCAAAACTCTGCAATGAGTAAATGGGAAGATACAGCAAATGTGACCATCTTCACCAGTAAGGACTCCACAGGTGAGTTCTGTGATAAACTAAATGTACTGTACAACACAAATCTTCCAGAAATAATACACTTGGATGATAACATTGCTCCAACTACCTAAAAAGGGGAAGAAAAGTAGGATCAGTGTTTGTTCTATAACCTAGCAGTCACAGAGTGATACATGAGTGACTTAGGTAAAACTGAATTCATGTGCCATCTACCTTATGTCTCGTGGTAACACTAGTGCAAGATGTAAGGTTTGCTCCCTGGTACTTTGCAAATGAAGGAAGGTAACAGAAAGTTCTCATAGCCTTACATTCCATGCATAAGGGTCAGAGAAAACTCGCTCCCTCTCTGAAAGGAATCAGATCACTACCTGAAGTTAGACAAGGACTTTCTATGAGAAAATTATAAGACTTTTAAATTAACAGTAGCTATACTTACTTAGTACTTGGGGTTAAAGAAAAAAGAGACTGCTAAACCTGAGGTTGGTTAACTAGTTTATTAATTTAAATTCATACAAATTGCTCTCAGTTCTAAGATTATCATAAGGGAGACAGAGCATTTCTTAGTTTTGCAAGTGGCCACTCCCTTTATTCCAGGCTGCCGGATACAGTACAGCCTCACCTTCACTTTTTGTCTTTAACTCACTAAATACTTCAACCAGTATCCGAGCCCACCACCGCCTAACAGGACGGGCAAAGACACTGGTTATTTAAAAAAAAAAGAAAAAAAGCCCATTTCTGAACTCAAGTCTAAAGCCAATTAAATAGTTTTAAATGCTTAAAAAGGAAAGTAGGTACCAGTATAAGCTTAACTGGATTTTTCCCCCCTATTTTGTTCTACAGGAGATTTAAGCTATCTAAATTATTGCTAAAGGCCCTTCTAATGTCAAAGAAAACAAAGTCTTTAAAAGTCTGTTTTATTATAGACTAAAACACAATAAATTCCTGATGCAATAGAGTTGATTTTTATGCTCTGCATATATACTTACATGAAATCCCTTACATAAGCAATGGGTACAATGCATTTACAACCATTTTATTGGACTGGAAGCGTCACTGAAGTCTCTTAGGGGATTCTGGAGTACACAATCTTGGCTGTGACTTTTGGCACACAGTTAAGTCAATTATAACTTTGCCAGGGCGAAATACGATCTAATAGATGATAATCTTTTCACAACTAGTTTCCAAGGATAGATTGTGATAAATAACTAAGACTATTTGTACTAAACCTCTAAACTAATTTACAGTAAATCAGTTTGCATCACTCACTAAAAATTAGAAAAATTAACTTGCCAACATTAGATTATGTAAATTATGATAGAACCAATCAATGGATATCATATAGCTCTTAAAAATGAAAAGCTTTCAGATTATAAAGTAACAATGAAAAATGCTTATGATAAAATATTGAATAAAAAGTGAGATGCAGGGGCCAGCCCTGTGGCATAGTGGTTAAGTTCGTGTGCTGAGCTTTGGTGGCCTGGGGTTCGTGGGCTTGGTTCTTAGGCTCAGGCCTACACACCACTCATCAAACTATGCTGTGGTGGCATCTCACATATAAAACAGAGGAAGCTGGCACAGATGTTAGCTCAGGGACAGTCTTCCTTAAGCAAAAGGAGGAAGATTGGCAACAGATGTTAGCTCAGGGTTAATCTTCCTCACCAAAAAAAAAAAAAAAGAGAGAGATGCAAAACGTTCAGTTCAGATAGATTACAGCTCTGTAATATAAATATGAATATGAAAAAAGACTTGGAGGGATAAAGACCACAATGCTAAGAGTAGATATTTTAGTATAATGGGATTATAGGTAACCTCTCATTCCTGTCTAAATTTGTTTATATTACTTTTCAATGAAAATAACTATTATTAAAAAGCATCATATAAAAAGAACATATAATATTTCACGATATTGCTTTCTTAACTTTTTTTTTATCCTATCTTATAATAATGGAAGTTAATGGTAGATTGGACAGAAAAATTTTAGAACTTCGAAAAAATTCTACCATAAGAAATAAAAGGGGGAAATATTAGAATTCTAACTGTAAAGAAAACTTAAGAAAGAAAGGAGAGACAACATTGCTGAAGTCTAAAAATGTGATTATTAAATTTGTTGTAAAAAACAATTAAGTTTTCTTTTTCAGTTACTCTTTTGGGAAAGAAACACCAGCACAAGTAATTAATTCATAAAGAAGATCACAACTACAACAGGCATAAAAACATTCTCATTTACTTTGTTCACCCATCCCTGCCAAAAAGGTCTTTAAAGCAGAAGGTGACCAGTGTGTCTGTCTATCTACAGACGTGGATCACAGGAAGAGAAATGAAAGGTACCACCAGATATGAACAAAGCTGATGTAAGTGCCCAGGACCTAGGATCTGTGGAACTACCAACAAGGACATTATAAAGGCCATCTCTTCTCTTAGAGGGGATTCCCAGCCTTGCATGCATATTAACTTTCTTATATCCTGCCACTGAGGGGATGTAATTATTTTACACAGTGAATTTGTGGCCATTCTATTTCCTGATGCCCCTCAGTGATCAAGAGAAAACTTGTCTGTGATAAGATGTGAGAAACAGAGTAAAGTCAACTAGTGTATAATCAGATAAAAAATGTAACCTCTTACTCTATCCTGCCATTTACTAACTTCAACAGCAATCTGCATGTAATGGGCATTCAATAACACCTGTTCACTATCAAGTAGATCTTAAGACCACAGAATATTTCTAGTATTCAGAAATCATAGTGGATTTAGAATGACAGCCAAAAATAGTAGTTCACCTTTCCATTTGTATAAATATTTATAGATGTACATAAGAAAATACTACCTTTTTTGAAGGAATTCAGATTAATAAATTTAAAAAGCCAGAAGATAAAGGTGATTATCACACACATACATACACACATAACTCCTAATGAAGTCAAAGTTAAAACTATAAGTCTTATCACCTTACCATATGTGGCAAAAGTTCTTCTTTGCTGTTCAAACATAAAATCATTGATATGAGCTGGTTCAGCATACCCAGAAAGCATATTTCTAGGGGCAGCCATTTGCTGTGTCCTAAAGGGATTTTCTGGTCCAAACTGTAATGTTATAAGAAAACAAACAAACAAACTTAAATTCTGAGTCTATAAAGCTAGAAGTACCAGAATAATGTACAACATACAATATATTTTCAACTCTAACTCGTCAGGGGCTGACTACCCTATTTGGGAACATGCTCACTCACATAGTTCAGAAGAATTGGGCAACGGCTGATTAGGACTGGCTGTCAGCCCCCAGGACAGAAGGAGAGGAACCTACCTAGTTCATCCAAGTCTACATGTATCTATTTAAATTTAAGTTAATTAAAATAAAATATTCAGTTACTTGGTCACACCACCCACATTTCAAGAGCTCAACAGCCACGTATGGTTACCAGCAGCTACATTTCCCTCATATCAGGAAGTTCTATTTGACAGTGTTGCTCTAGATAATTCAGACTTTCTATAACTTTGTCTAAACCATGATTTGGGGGATTTGGGTTGACTTTTATACGAATAATGGCACTGAGATGTAATTTAAAAAAAATGTGTTTCTCCTCTACTAGACTATGAGTTCCTTAAAGGTGGAGACTTAGAATCCTCCACACCAACCATAGTGATGGGCATACAGAAAACACTAATGAGGGAAAGATTAGTCAGAATCCCATGGGGGCAGAAGACAGGAAAACAGACAATAAAAGTCAAGTGCTTGAAAAACTCCCTAGGAAAAGACATTACAAATGTAAATAAAATTTCTCCACTCTGAAAAGTCACACTATGAAAGTCTTACACAAAATAGTACCATTATCACCTACTTGTATATAATGCTTTGAGTTTCCAGAATGGCTTTTCAAACGTTATTTAATTTTATCTGCACAAAAACTCTGGAAAGTTAAAGAGGTATTTTCCCTCTCACGTAAGAAATGAAGGAAAAGCCACAGATGATGTATTTTACCTACCTTAGAGTCAATAGATTTTTTTTTTTTTTTTTTTGCTGAGGAAGATTTTCCCTGAGCTAACACCTGTGCCAATCTTCCTCTATTTTGTATGTGGCTTGCTGCTACAGCACAGCTGCCGTGGAGTGGTGTAGGTCCACACCTGGCAACCCAACCCAGGCCCTGAAGTGGAGCACGCTGAATTTAACCACTACGCCACAGAGCCAGCCCCAAGATTTTTTAATTAGTAGAAACAAGACTAGAACAAATCCTAATCTAATGTTCTATTGCATCATAATATTCCTTAAATGCACAATTATAGCCTCTAAATTATAAAAAAATTGGGTAAAAAAAGTACTAGAATATATTGTGTCAAGTGCTATTAGTTTAATGCTATTATAAAAGGTATTGAGAAAATCTAACTCTTTTCTTTTTTGTTTTAAAATAAAGAATAAAATGAACTTTGGAAATAGTAGAATTAGAACATTTTTATTTGAACTCTGGAAGGTCTACGGTCATGATGAAATATTTTGACATTAGAACATCCTAGGTCACTACCATTAGAAACCCTCTTTTCTATGATACCTTTCCAGAGCCAGAAACATAAATTATTCATCTCTTAACCAGAATGTTGCCTTCTCTAGATATCAACGTTATATTATGCATGAAAATCTGAATTCAAATGTTAGATTTGCCTTACTTTTTTTTTTTTGGCTTCAGAATAAATTACTACAATGTTCCTTTCTACTGACAGTTTCCATTTCTATGATTAAAGTGATTCAGTCTTAAAATATCTGATTTATATGTAAAGCTCTTACAACTATTTATTCTAAGTTATAATAAAGGACAGTACATACTGTCCATTGCAGCCCATACTAGTTCTTCCTGTGCTGATGGCTGCAAACGTAGGAAAAAAGTCTAGATTACTGAACGCCGGAAGTTGTAGTTAACTTCATTCACAAAATATAATATAATGAACACAAAATTTATTATAGAAACAAGGAACACTCATAAAGTTAAAGATAACACAATGATTTAAAAGTTTCCTAGATGCTCTACTTGCTATAGTCAACAACTATCCACAAAACAGCATCTGATATTTCCAGGGGGGAGAAATCTAAAAATGATAAAAATCTCTATTGCCCTTCTTGTCACTCCTATCACATATAATAAATTAACCATTGTAATGCTTATACCTTCCAAGTTAAAAAAGAAAAATACAATTTCCATACTCTTATTTTATGAAGATTTTACAAAAAGAACAATTCTTCTACAGGCCATACATATCAAACCAGCTTCATCTTGTTTTTTTTATTATTTTGGTGTGGAAGATTGGCCCTAAGCTAACATCTGTTGCCAATCTTCTTCTTTTTGCTTGAGGAAGATTGTTCTTGAGCTAACAGCTGTGCCAATCTTCCTCCACTTTTTGTATATGGGATGCCGCCACAGTATGGCTTGATGAGAAGTGTGTAGGTTCACACCTGGGATCTGAACCTGTGAACCCTGGGCCACTGAAGCGTAGTGGTCGAACCCAACCACCACGCCACCAGGCCGGCCCCTAAACCAGCTCCATCTTTTACAGAAAAATTCTCATTGTTAAAGAACTTTGATGTCTATAAGAATACAGATGTATAAATTACAGCTAAGTATATTTTATATATGGTGCTGTTCCTAAAGCAGTCTAAAAATTTAAGTGTGTTTATGCTTTACAGATATTTAAGCTGAGACAACAAAAAATCTTCTAATGATACAGGAAGCTGCACGGGGAGAGGATTCATCTACTTTTGGCTCAATTTAACTGCCTGGTTGCCGGCAGCGGTTGGAGCTGACCTCAAAGACATTAAATGCCAACAAAGAAAGGCAGAGAATGGTATTCAGCAGAACTCAGCTCTTCCCAATACTCAAAACACATTTCTCTGACGTTTCTGCTCTCCCTGAATATGCACCTCTTTTAATTCTAGGTTAACCACTAAAAAAAACCTCCCCAAACAATGCATATAGAAAACACACAAACTGATTTCCAAATACTTTTAAACTTTTGGTTATAAGTTTAAGAGTAAATTTGTATTCAAGTGATTTTAAAAAATACATATTTGAGTGAATTAGGCATGAGTACTTAACAGTTTCTGGCTAAGGGAAGACTGAAGGACACCACAGTCAATTACAATTGTAATCTCCCCATATAAGGCACACACACTTCTGTGTTAATTCAGATCACTGCACCCAGAAGAATGTACGCTGCTCCTGAGAGGTAAGGATCCTGACATCTTTAATCTGAGCGAGGAGTCATTTATTTATAGAGTTGGGAGAAAGCATTTTCAATTTAAGACGTTGGCTGATAAATCTAAGAGATCTGTGGCTGTGGTTTTCAAAAGCCTTCAATAGGTAGAGTACTTGAGGATCAATGTCTTAGCAGTATGTCATAACATCACAGGAATTAAGAAAATTTATACTAGTAAAAACTGACTATATGGAATCATAACCATAAGTTCACATACAGGAAAAAAAAAAACCCATTACTGAACTAATAATCATATTATACTAAGATTGCTGGTAAGTTTTTCATTAATATTTACTGCAGTCATCAATGTTTAAAACATTTATCAACAAATTTTAAAGTGAGAAGAGTCTATTGATTAACTTAATTATTTCCTACAAATTTGGAAAAGATCACCAGAATTCAATTTTATTGGTGGAATACCTCAAATTTGTAAGATATGAGCACAGTTTAAATATTACTATTATAAGAATATTTTATTAGTGTTGGTTCTATGACCTTGGGCCTCAGTTTCCTCATCTATAACACAAAAAGAGCTGAGCTATATGATTTCTACAGTTCATTCTTACATTTATATTTATAGCAGTCCATACAGCCAGATTTTTTAACAGTAACTAGCATTTTTTTCCCCTCAACTTTTGTATTTTTTTTATTTCTAAAAGTACTACTATTTTAAGAGTCTGAAATTCTCCCTGAGGCTTATGGGTTTTATATGAGTCTAGAGCAGCTAACAAATACACTTTTCTTTAAGCAGATCTGAAAAGGATTGAGTGAAATGAAGAAAATCGCTAGACTAAAACAACGGTTATTACATCTTCAAGTTCCATCTGTAATTTCAGAAAGCTTATCTGGGTATCTCTTGCTGGGTAGACCATTTAGGAAAAGTCCTTGGTTAGGAGGGAGAAACAATCTTTTATAAAATAAAATAGCCAATTCAGTTAATTTACTGAAGTAGCGAAGTCAAAGGCATAGATAGGGGTGTGCCCTGCATACTCCACAATGGCCTCCAAACTGGTCTTCCAGTTGCAGCGATTGTTAAGAGCGATCTGGACTCAAATCCCCAAATACACCACTTGCTGGCTGTTTAATCTGAGACTTGGTTTCCTTGCTACAAAATAGGGCTAAGAGTACTTACTTCATAGGGCTGTAGTGAAGACTCAAGGAAACAAGGTACACAAATATGTAAATCCCTCAGTGTGGGACCTGGCATACAGTAATAAGTGGTATTTTTACTTCATTAGTCTCTCTCCCCGTTCTTTTCCAACATGCAAACCCTTACCAGATTACCCTTCCTAAAAATTCAGCTTTGACTATGCTAATCCCCCACAGAATTGAGAGAGTCTAGGTTTCTAAAGAACCTCAGAAATCTGTCTATCAAATCAAGACCAGACTCTTCACCGTGGCCCCCAGAGCCCTGTGCAATATTATACAAGCACCATTCTAGTCTCACCCTCTTCTCCCTACTGATAATGACTAAAACATTCCTGTTCTTTAGACCTTTTATGATTCGGCTCATGCTGTTCCCTTCTGCCCGGAATTTTTCCTCATAAAAGCCTACTTAGCCATCAATGCCAATATTAATATAAATATAAATAAGGGCCACCATTTACTAAACGCTTACTCTGTGCCAGGGAGTTTCCTAAGCACATTATCTCATTTATCCTCGTAACTTGGTAAAGTAGAAATTACCTTCATGTCTCCTATGAGAAAACTAAAATAATGCAAGGTTACACAGGAGCTAATAAGCGGTATGTTTAACCTCAAATCTCACGTTCTTAAACTGGACTGTATTGCTCATTTCAAATACTACTATTTTCACAGAGCTTTTTCTCATCTTTACAACCAGATGCAATCTCTCCTTAGACTTGAATAGTACTTTAGAGGCATTATCTCTATCTTTTTAAAAAATAAATTCAGTGCGGCCTCTCTGGTAAAGAGAGGGATATATATCTAGTTTGAGGAGAGGGATTATATCTTGTTTCTAACAGTGGATTCTCAAACTATGGGAACTTGAATTTCATCTAGCAAAGTTCCTGACAACACCTTTCTAGACTTTTCCAACTTAGACAGATCCTAGTCATAAAATTCAAAGTTAATAACTTGTTATGTCACAGACGATTCATTTGGCAATCAGGAAAAATTATAATTTTTCTTCACTTTTTAGTGTCATCATTTTCTTCTAAAATTGTTGACAACAAGCATAGAAGTGTTCCTAACATAAACTAGTTTACGTATTTAATGTAAGGCTCCCTAACATGGGGAAAAGAAGAACAGAACATTAAAGGATTGCTAACCCCACAAAGAGGATGACAGGCCTACTGCCTTGTCAATAGCACCACAAAAATTTTTGACATTTTGAACTTTTCTTGAAAGTTTTGAAATCCAGTTACACAGCAATATATTAATTACGCATAGGATCTAAAAATTTAAGAAAAATAGACTTCATAGAAAATACACTGACACAGGAATGCCACACACACTTCCAAAATTTCTTACTTCAAATTTTATTATTTTCTGGATTCAGTGGCTCTATTTAATTGAAGTACTCTTCATTAAAAAAAAAATCATGAGGCATATATATAACATACCATCTCTCTCCAATGTGTTGGCTAAAATAGTGCCAAGGGATAAAAGATGGCTTATAGTTTGACAGGATAGAAGGATTTAAGAGATAATGGAATAAAATTAAAAATGTGTCACAGTCTCAGAGCATGAGAATGAGATCCTTGCTTACTGTTACCCAGAGAACAGCCAGAGCCCTGTCTAACACTAGCACACACCGCCTGTGCTACACATTTCAATTGCCATATTTTAAGTGACTACGGAAACCTAAGCATGAAAATTACATGAAATAGTTTTATGGTTCTGATACACCAAAAAAAACCCAATGACTATATGCTAAACAATGAAAAATATTAAAAAGTATTTCTTTTCCACCAAGATGCAGTAAAATACGGCTCCTCACCTCCATCTTTTAGTGCTCTTAAGGATCCTCCTACTGAAGCCTTATTATTCTTTCTTACAATGACCATTTTCTAGCATCTCTATTTTGGCAATCAAGCATTCTTTTCCTTTTATAAGGGCAAAATATTTATAAATTTCATTTTTTCTATAAAGACTTTGCTAAATGGACAATTTTCACTGTTTCTGATGTTTTCTTTTCCTTCCTTATCTTTTTAATGCTTCCACTGCCATTTATCATCATAAGATGTCTTACTCAGAGCAGGCGATGAACACTGCAACTACTTCCAAGCACTGACCATGTGAGTATGGGACCTCATTTAGTGTTTAGCATTGCAGCATTTGTAACTAGACATTTCATAATATACTCTGCACTGACGATGCTAATAAACCAAATATTTTTTCCCCCTTATGGTTAATTTGTAATATTCCTTTATCAACACTGAGAGGAAGATGTTAATTAGGTTCACATCTAAGAATCAGATATTTTAAGATTTCCCTTTTCAAAAGACATAGTTCTATACTATCAGATAGTTGTGTGGATGCAGATACACAGCTAGCGGATTTGTGTGCGCGTGCGCGTGTGTGTGTGTGTGTGTGTGAGGAAGACTGGTCCTGAGCTAACATCTGTGCCAATCTTCCTGTATTTTGTATGTGGGATGCTACCACAGCGTGGCTTGATGAGTGGTGCCTGGTCCGTGCCCTGGATCCAAACCTCCAAACCCTGTGCTGCCAAAGCAGAGTGTTAACCACTCTGCTTAACCACTACACCACTGGGCTGGCCCGCTGGTGGATTTTTAAAAGTACTGCCGTAAGACCATACTATTTAAACTTTTGTAGGCTAAAAGAATATATTTTCTTTTTTCAAATTGAGATATAATTGACATACAACAAGATATATTTTCTAAAAGTTTAAATAGTATACTTTTGTGAGAAAACTTTGAAAAATTCACCAATTGTTTATCTACTTAGGCATAATTTAAATACTTTAGCAAAAGGCAGAATCTTAAATATAGTGTCCTTTCTTACCTCAGGAGCAAACATGGTCTCATAGGTAGGATTATACTGAACCTCTTTAACAGCAGGGTCAAGGTGAACTCCAGTCTCCAAGTCTTCCTAAAAGAAAACCAGCTGAATGTTAAAGATCTGACGAATAGCTACTTTAGAAACTACATTAAGCTAGCCATTTTAATACCAATTTAATCATTATCACACTAGGGCCATGTGATTAATAGTTCTAATAATCAAAGACCAATAAAAGTAATGTATGTGGTTACAGAAGTTAGAATGCATAACAAAAATTTTTCCTTTCAAAACACTGACTTTATCCCATTTGAACAAATTAAAAATGTCTAAGTTAACACTACTCAAAGCCTTAAATTAAGAGAATCCAACTCTTCTTTCTTAGTAACTCAAACGACCTGATCTTCTGCTTCCAAATTCAGGAGAAGCGCTCCTTCGTTATTCAGCAAACCTCCTTAGATATGTACCAGGGGGCACTCGGTTAGGGACTGTGGAGGAAACAAAAGGAAGCAGTAGGGCCCGAACCCTCTAAACCCACAGACTTACAATCTACGTCAACGTTTCCACCTTCCTAAATTCATCCCCAGTTTAAGGAACATAAAAATCTCTTCTCCACTACAGAATTACTGGCAGTCTATCTCCTGTGTAACTCTATCACTTACAAATAGAACAATTCCCAAATTGGTACCTCGAGCCTGACCCTGTCCCCCGAACCCTGGAGACTTACATATCTAAGCTCCAATTCAACATCTTTTCTCCCAGGGTGCCTAACAGACATCTCAAACTCCCTATATCCAAATGGGAACTTCTGCTCTCCCTTCCCCAATGACTTTTCCAGCCTTCTCTATCTAAGTTAATTGCAACTCCATCCTTATATTTGCTCAGGTGAATATACTGCCGGAGTTATCCTTGACTCCTCTTCTCTTCACATTATATATCCAATCCATCAGCAAATCCTCTACCTTCTACACACATCCAGACTTCAACCACTCCCCCAGTCCTCTTTTCCTATCACAGCCGTCCAACTTACCATCTCGCCCCTGCATTACTGTAATAGCCTCGAAGTCGTCTCCCTGCTTCTGCCCTTGCCCACCTACAGCCTCACTCCACACAGGGGCCAGAGTGATTCTTTAAAATATTAGTCAGATTATGCTACTCCTTTGCTCTAAACCCTCCGGTAGCTTCCCACTCAGAGTAAAAGCCAGACAAAGACTTACAAGACTCATTATCAGTTGTTCTCAAAAATTAAGTATGGTTCCCTAGGGTCGTTTCACAGTGCACTGTTGTCTTCCTGTATTGTCCTGCACGAGTATTTACATATTAAAACACACTATTTGTACATATTTAATTTACATATTAAACATATTAAACATACTATAAATACCTTTAATTTAATTAGGGCATTCAAGTTATATTTTGAAATTTTTAAGGAAGTTCCTATTCTCTATGAATTATATTTCAGTAAAGCTAGAATTACAAAATTGCTGTTACAAAATGAGGAAGTTGGATCTAATTGGTTGCGAATTTAACCTCCGTGCTCTGCCCTCTGCCCACACCAACTTCTGTCTTCATCTAGCCCTGTGCCTGTGTTCACTTACTCCAGCCTCACTGGCTCATTTGCTATTCCTGGAATTTATCAAAGGACAATCCTGCCTTAGGGTCTCTGGACTTGCTGTTCCCTCTTCTTGGAATGTTCTTTCCCTGGATATTCACATGATTGTTCTCTCTTCTTTCAGGTCTCTGCTCAGTTTTTCTACTTTCCCCTTACTTCGCTTTATTTATCTCCATTATATTTATCATCACCTGATGTATATATTTATTATCTACCTCCCTCTACTAAAATACAAGCTATACACGCTGGATTTTGTATACACAAATGTGTTCTAAACCCCTAGAACTATCCCTAACATATCACCATCTGTATCCTGCTGGCCTCTTGCTGATGGCAGGATATATCTGTCAACATAAAGCAAAGACAATGTACAGTAATATTGCAAATTTTGCAAAAAAGGTGGGATATCATGATGTTGACAGTGATATTGAAGAAGCACCGCGACTGACAAATGGCAATCTGGTAGAGTTAGACCAGCTAATGACCAAAGACCTGAAAATGACAAGAAAAAGAATACCATAGACACAAACTTATCGTTCTGAAATTTTACCACCTTTAAAACACCGTTCACCAAAGCAGCCAACTTAGTTCTTCACTTCTCAAAGATACGGTCTTTCAGGTACTACTCCCTGAACTTCCTTCAAAAGTCTCCATATCTTTAACTTACCTTAACCTTCCCATGACTTTAATTTCCACCCCGAATTTTTATCTGCAGCCTCGACCACACTTCTGGTCTCTGGATCCTCATATCCAACTGCCTATGGAACTTTATTATATGGAGGTTCCACAGCATCAAACACTTTGCTATGTCCAAACAGAAGATATCATCCCCATAACTCCATCCTTACTCACGCACAAATCCAGGACTGAGCCTTACTGACTCCACCTCTGAAGTGGTTCTCTAGCAACCCTACTCCCACCTTCCCTTCACGTTCTAGCCACTACTGTCCTACTGTAGCCTTCATCATATCCTGCCTGGTCTATTATAATACCTCCTTACCTGGTTTAACGTACTCTCACTTTTACCATATTAGACTAATTGCTGATTTTAAAACTATGAAGCTCTTTCATGCTTTCCATACCATTGGCAATGTTACTGTCTTTGTTCCTCATGCATATCCCTTTACTATCTGATAATCTATCATCCTCTTATTTTCCCTGATACCTTCCCTCCTCCTGCTTCAAGAAAACTGCTTTTCATCCACAGTCCTGTGGAATGCTGTACGCAGCTCCTCATGGCAACTGTAATAGTACACTATTTGTTGCACACGACTTTTACTTAGATTTTACATCCTTACTGCCTAGTAGAATGCAGGCCATTCAGCGCATGTTCAATAAATATTTGTTAAATCAAATGGAAGAAAGAAAAGTCAAATCCATAGAACAACTAAAGAGGATGAAGGCAGACCAAAGATCACTGAATTCGGCAATTACGTCACAAAAGAACCTTTGTCAGAGTGATTTCCGTTGTGGCGTGGAGCATGGAAAGCTACTTGCAAGGGGCAGAGGTATAACTGAGGATTTAGAAAATCAAGACAGTAATAATTTTTACTCTTTCAAGACATTTGGCTGTAAAGAAGAAGAAACGGGGTGCCAGATTGAAGGATTTTCAGGATAAAATTAAGTTTGTTTTTTCCTTCCTTAAGAAGAGACTAAGTCAAAGATTTAGTCAATCATAAGCTAGAGGAAAGGAGCGAGCAAGGAGAAGCACATGAAAAGAATGAGGGGGCAATCAAAGGTATGGTTATCCCAGAAGAGGTGGGAGGGGAGAGAACCCAGGACACAGTTGAAGATTAGCCTCTGAAAGAAAGAGAGCTCTCTCTGAGCTGAAACAGAGATGACAAAGACGAGGATGGGTGACGGGTGATAGATGTTTGGAGCAGATGGGAGATGTTGAGAGCCACAGTTGATCTTTTTATTTTCTTTGTGTCGTCAGGAGCATAAGCATCTTCATAAAGCAAGTATGGTAACTTCAGCTTCATTCATTCATTCCAGAAATAATGACTGGGGGTCTACCTATGTGCCAGGCACTGTTCTAGGCCCAGAGAAATGGACGACATTCCCCGCCCTGCTGGAGCTTACAGTCTAGTGGGGGAGACAGACGATAACCAATATAACAGTGAATTATGTAGTTTGCTAGAAAAGCGTAAGTGCTATGAACAAAAATATTAAACAACAGTAGTTGCCAAGACCAGGATAGATATATCATCTCATATTACCCTTACAACAACTCTGTGAGGTATTAGCAAGATTAAGTCACTTACTCCAAAATATTAATAGAATAAATATGAAGGGCAAGAATTTAAAGTAACCATAATGAAGGATATTAAAAGAGACTCCGTTAGCAACAAATGAAAAAATTGCCAGCAAAGTTAGCCAGGATTTTTAGTTGCAACCAACTAAAACCCTCCCAGGCTGATTAAATTGTGCTGAATCCTTTTGAGTTTCTCTTAGCATTGCCGACAAGGGTGGAGAATCAGCTTGCGGAAACAGGCAGAAATAAAGGGTGAGTATACAGACGGAATTACAATTCAAAATCAATCATATCACAGAACCAGCCCAGTGAGGACAACAGTTCACCATCTCCGAACACCATCACTAATCTCTCTGGCTGCCACTGCATGCTGCTGTTGAAACTACTGGCCCGAGAAACTAGACACTGTTGGCCACCGCCACCACTTAAAAATATTTTCTTGCTTCTTTGTGGACCAGCTTTAGATGAGATTTAGGTGGGCACATTTGGCTGGCTGAGCCCAAGTGACAGTCCTGAGCCTCAGCTGACAGGGAGCTGGGAGAATGAAAATCGGGGCTTTCAGCTTCTACAGGTGGGGGCAGGGAGGGATGTTCTTCACATTAGGACTCTTAAGGAAAGGGGTTCAAATGCTGGGCCGCCTAAAAGATGATACATATATATTACCCTAGAATGCACACTAGAATCTTCATTGATTAGAAATACTATCTTGCCTAGGGCTCAGAAGCAAAACCCAGTACCATAAAGTTAAAAGGTTACACACAAATTGCTTAAATTGCATAAAAACTAAATTACATGCTTTTCTCTCTTAATATTCAACTCCTAGTGATAAACTGCTTAAAATAACAAGAAGCTTAGCCACATTCATATCTCCCCAATGGATTTTATAGAATACAGTTGCTAGAACCACTTTATAATATGGCTTGCCAGATCCTCCTGATTAAGAGTATTTTAAATATTCTAAATTTGAATTATTTTGAACAGAGCATTATGAGATGCCAAGTTTTAAATGCAAAGTATAATTTAAAACGAATTACTCTTTATATAAGCAATGGTGGCAACTAATAAAAAATACAGATAGATCCCAGTTTCTGGCTCTTGCTAAAATTCTAGAACAAATTGAAGAACATTCAGAAAATGAAGGATTATTAATTTTATATTTAATTAGAAAAACTTAGACAATACCTCAACCTTGTTTTAACACCCACAAGGAGTTCAATAATAATTAGG